CCCCCTCATCAAGTCGGCGACCGATTCGCGCATCAGAAGCCCTGCCCTTCGACAGTCCAGGAGCTTCACGACCGATCCCGCGATGATGAACGAAAAATCACAAGGTGGTCGGGTGACGGAGAACTCAATGATTAGCCCCAAGCGTTACTCGGACGAGGCAAAGGAGCCCCGGATGGGCGTCCTCCGCAAGAAGTCGGGCTTCTCTGGTTTCATGAACAGTCTCGTCGGCACGCCCAAGAAGCCAGTCATCTCAGCGCCTGAGAACCCCGTCCATGTCACCCACGTCGGCTACGACAGCTCCACTGGCCAGTTCACTGTCAGTCGTTCCCTCCACTCTCCCCCGTTGCTTGCTTACCCTCCTCTTCTGCTGCTGCTGCTGCTGCTACTACCACCACTGCCCTCGTGGTGCTCCCGTTTGTCGTTGCGATGGTTGCGGCTGACATGTTTACGATCCAGGGTCTTCCGAAAGAATGGCAGAGATTGATCAACGAAAGTGGAATTCCCGAGAAGGAACGTAGGGAGAACCCCCAAACCATGGTTGACATCATCACTTTCTACAAGGAGACCACCGAGAAGCCAGCCGAGGATCAAGTCTTGGAGAAGTTCCACGATGCCAGAGCCCCTGACTACCGTCAGTATGCGAACACAAACTCGCCGTCGGGTGCCATGTCGCCGGGCATGTATCCGCCAACAGCTTATATGGGTATGTCACCAATGATCAGTCCACCTGCGAGCCCTAGGTTTCCAACTGTCAATCATGAAGGATCTTTCGAAAACCCCCGCCAGCCGCCCCCCGTTCCTGGTGTCGGCGGAGGCAAAGGCCCCGGCAACAAGGACATCAACTTGATGCCCAGCCGTCCGGCCCCGAAGCCTCCCGTCAGCCTCCCGATGAGGTCCGCTCCCTCGCCCTACCCCGCCAAGGACTCCGGTATTGGCATGTCTCAGCCCGGCGAGGACCTGCCCCCGGTCGCATACCAGCCCCCCAAGGAGAACGTCCCCATGCTCCCCGAGGAGCACCGCGGAGAGCACCGGTCCCGATCCCGATCCAACTCGCGCGTCGGCGCCTCCCCCGCCTACGTCCCCCCCACCCCTAACCCGCAGACTGTCCAGGCGAACCTGTACCAGCAGCAGCTCATGCAGCAGCAGCAAGAGCAGGCCTTGGCCCAGGCCCAAGCAGCCATGTCTGGCCAAATCAGCCGCGCCCCGAGTAAGAGACAGCCCCCCCAGCAGCCGACCCCGCCCCAGTCGCAGCACCAGCATCCCCAGGGTCCTGCGGCCAACGGCGGCCCCGGCCAGCGACAGCAGGTTGGCGTCCCTGGCGCTCCTGGCTCCAGGCCTCGACACCGTCCCCGCCAGAGCACTGGCATCGATGTCGTTGCTGCACTGAAGCGCATCTGTTCCGACGGAGACCCACGCGAAGTCTACAAGAACTTCAATAAGATTGGACAAGGCGCGTCTGGCGGTGTTTACACCGGCTACGAGCGAGGATCCAACCGTCTGGTTGCCATCAAGCAGATGAACCTCGAGCAGCAGCCCAAGAAGGATTTGATCATCAACGAAATCCTTGTCATGAAGGACAGCTCCCACCCGAACATTGTCAACTTCATCGACAGCTACCTTTGCGGAGGTGAACTCTGGGTGGTCATGGAATTCATGGAGGGCGGTAGTCTGACTGATGTCGTTACTTTCAACATCATGACTGAGGGACAGATTGCTTCTGTCTGCCGGGAAACGCTCAAGGGCCTGCAGCACCTCCACTCCAAGGGTGTCATCCACCGCGACATCAAGTCGGACAACATTCTCCTGTCGATGGAGGGCAACATCAAGCTGAGTAGGTTCTCTGAGCATTCTCCGAGATGGTGAGATGCTAACAATGGGGTAGCCGACTTTGGTTTCTGCGCGACCATTAACGAGGCCCAAAACAAGCGTACCACTATGGTTGGCACGCCTTACTGGATGGCCCCTGAAGTCGTCACGCGGAAGGAGTACGGACGCAAGGTCGACATCTGGTCTCTTGGCATCATGGCCATTGAGATGATTGAGGGAGAGCCGCCCTACCTGACAGAGTCTCCCCTGAGAGCGTTGTGGTTGATCGCTACCAACGGCACACCTCACATCAAGGAGGAGTCCAACTTGTCGCCAGTGTTCCGCGACTTCCTTTACTTCGCACTCAAGGTCGACCCTGAGAAGAGAGCAAGCGCGCATGACCTACTTAGAGTAAGTTTGGCCCTGATGCCACCAAGGACTGATTACTGACCTCCTTCTCAGCACGAGTTCATGAAGGGCTGCGTTGATCTTTCTCAGCTGTCACCGTTGGTGCGCGCCGCCAGAGAGGCACGTCTTGCAGAAAAGGCTAGAAAGGGACAGTAGGACACCTTCAGCCAGGCATCCAAGAACATCTTTCGGCGGTTGAAACGACACTAACCCCACGACCTTGACGACAACGTACTCCTTAATGGGGCTGCCCCTTACCTGTGCATTGAGATACCCCAGGAAGTACTGTTGGCCTCGGCACATTCGGCTCGAGGACGCTTTCCATCTGCGCTGTGCACGGCTTCATTCATTCTGTGGCCAAGCCTCGTCGGCTTTTGGTCCGTCTGAGGAATCTAGTGCTTGCGTGCCATGGCCAGCAGGCTTTCAGCCCCAATCATAACTCTCTACTTGCTTTCAAGATACCACGTCGGAGGACACCTGAACCATTTTCGGCATGGACCCTCGACTTTTCTTTTTGATTCTTGACGACTTGCACACGCGCACCATTTAGCATGTTGGCGACCAAGCAACGTCTTTTTTTTCCTGACGGCTTTTCACTTTATGCATTACATAGAGGCGATCACGATCCTGGATCCGCCAACTCGCCTCGATGTCAGGCTCCGGTTGTATATGGGCAACCTTTTCTTCTCATTGGATTGAGACATGCGCTTTGGGCCAATCGTGTTTCCCGAATTTTGGTGACAAACGTCACCTCGGCAATCGGTCGCTGAGAGGAGACGAGACGATGAATCGCATGCTTTGATTTGGCCAGCGGGAATGGGCGGCCAATTCAGATTTGTTGGGGCAGACAGGCAAACCCCTTTCAACCTGTCGTGGGATTTTTTCTGCTTTGTATGGAAATTCAAAGGGGGAAAAAAGGATCGCTATTCAGACGAGACGTTGCTGGACAGCGACGAGAGGCCAGAATCTTTGGCTCTTTGGTCCACCATGTCTCATGCCCACACAGAGGGGGCGTTCTTTACTGGTCATGTGCGAGAAGGTGTACCGCCGAGGAGATGGTGGTTCAATAACTCTAGTCTAGAGAGACTCGCCTAAGTACTGAAATGACCTTAAGGCCTAGAAAGCCTAAGAAAGTTTAAAGCATTGCGATCTTGGGTTTGTGCAAGAGGTGACGTGACTAACGATGGATGCCTGGTGAACTCCTTTTGTGTACTATTGCCGTCCTATCTTGTGATTCAGTGTCCTCTCAAGAGGAATGAGTTGGCTTGCCGTTTCGTGAGAGTGGCTAGTTGAACCCGCTTTCAGGGGCCGAGACAGCACGGGATCTTGAATGGCGGATATAATGCCATCTCCCTGTTTGTTCTTGTTTGCTTCCTCTTCCCGCCATCGTGCGTATGGCACGTTGCTGCCGTATGTGTCCTCTGCGTCTAGGAGCAGAAAAAGATGAAGACTATTGGTAGCTTGAGCCCAGAATAAGACCAGTTACTCACACACAAAGGGATGGGGTAAAGGTGACGGGCAGCCTCTCAATTGTATCTCAAGTACTGTATCTCTCCCGGGACATGGATCCCGCCCTATCTCCATCTCTCTGCCGTCCTTCCGTCCCCGGCCTCTCTCTCTCTCTCGGTCTTGTATTATCTTGCGATTCTGGAGCAGAGCGGGCGACGACATCCCAACTTGCCTCCGTCGCACACGCGGTCTGCAGTCCGTCAACTCACAAGCCGGGGCCCACTTCGTACCCAAAGGAGACAACCTTTCCCCTTGCCCAACATTGGAGGGAAAGGAAGATTTAATCACTCTTCGACCACCACGAGCCCGCCATCAAAAAGTCCCCCCGTGTGCAAGCAGAAAGAACGAACCTCCGAAACCTGCGCTCTTCGCTCGCCCCGTCAAGAAGAGATCCTCCTCCTCCTCCTTCTCCTCCTCTCCGCAAATCCAGGACGCGGAGAGGGACCAGGAACAGCGACACCAACGCGCAGCAGACGGCGCGAAAAGACGATGGAAGTCGCGTCCCTGACTCAGCAGGCGAGGAGGGCCCGAGGAAACAACGTTTCAACCTGCGTTGAGGGGGAGGGGGCCAGGAAAGCTTTTCCCCGGATCGTCCCAAGGTGCGCGCGCGCGCCCGCCCGCCCGCCCACGCTGCCGCTGAAACAAATCCCACACCCCCCTTCCCCTCTCCTACCCTTCTTCCCCCACCCTCTCCGGTACCTCAACTCGTCTGGAGCGTCGATCCCGGCTGACATCATTGTTTTCTTTGTCCCCCAAACCCGTCTTGCCATGGGCGACAGTCGCGCCCGCGAGCCTCGGCATCCAACTGTGCCGTGGGAAGCTGAGGCATGGGAGACGGTACGTGGACCCGTCTGTGCGTCTCGACAACACTCACAGAACATCAGAGCTCCCGAGCGCATGCCACTCGTAGTAGGAAACCGGCATGGTATGTATTAAGACAAAGCTTCTTCTCATTTCCCAAAAGCCCATATTCCGACGTTTATGCTGGGAGACTAATTAGAAAGAAGAAACACCCCTCATTCAACATCGCCCTTCTTCCTGACCCAAACGCCAGGACTTGCCAAAAAACGACGACATTCGTTATCATAAAAGACGTTGTGGCGGAAACAGGATGGGGGCGAAGAACCCACCATCCGGAGTATCATGAACAAACAGAAATCCTTCGAGTCCTCCCCATATTCTCTGCGTATGCGACTTGACTTGGGCAATGCTTTCGAATGCAATCAATCGGGTATCCAACTCTGCCGCTTTGCTGCCCTTGAGCTTTCGGCGGGCTTTTACTCACGCATCTTGACGTAGTTGCTGGGGAAGATGCCGTGTCTCGTGCCAATCATGCCAGTCCTGTTGTGAATGTTAGCTTTGTGCCCATGGAAAGTGCTAAAGAACCTTTTACATACCACCAGTCGTTTTCACTCTCAGTCTTCTTGAGCACCGTGATGACATCGCCCTTCTTGAACCCAAGATCACCAGGCTGGTCGGCATCGAAGGTGAACAGCGCAACCGCCTCGTTCTTCTTCAGCATCGCAGTCTTGGAAGCAAAGTTTGGCTTCGGCGCCGCAGGTCTGCCGGGTGCTCCGGTCTTCTGTTCGCTGACGAAGTTGGGTGATGGGTTGTCCCTGTAGACGTAGTCGTCGTTGTGGCTTCCTCTTGACGCAAACGTGTTCGACCGCGACACTCCAGTGTTGGACCGTGACACTCCTCCACCGAAGCCTCCGTTGTTCGGCCGGTCGTAGACATCGTCCTGCCATGTACTCGACCTTTTGGGTCCGCCAAACTCGCTGGCGCCATCGGCACCCCGATTAGGACCATGACCAGGGCCGAAGACACTGCTGCGATGGTTCATATCTCCCTCTCCGTATCCAGTGCCCTGGCGACCGTTCCATACCACATCGTCATGGCTCTGATCGTAGACAGGGATGTCGTTGTACATGGAATCGTTGGCCTGTCCGGTACGGCCAGCGTTGAAGGAGCGGGAGTTGAGGACGTTCATGAGCGGCGCAGCCTGAGGCGGAGAGCGGACGCTGCCGGTCAAGATCTGGGCGGCAGTGTAGCGGGTGCCGTAGAGCTTCTCGTTGGCGTCGCGGCGCTCGATGATTACGGAGCCCTCCAGCGAGACGCCGGCAAACAGGCCCTTGGTCTTGGAGTAGGCGAAAATGCCCGCCACGCTCTTCAGCGACGCGGCACCGGCAGCCTCGGCGTTGCGACCGACGGGGCCGGCGGCAATGGAGACGTTTCCACCGAGCGTCAGCGAACCAGCCTGTGCGAAGGTCTTGACGGCGCTCGCGTCGTTGAGGATGAACACGAAGTCAGTCAGTTCGAAGCCAATCTGTCCGCCGAAGCCGGCGCCCGCCGTGCCGATGGCACTCGGCGCACTCCATGATCCGTCGGGGAGTCGCGAGACGACGAGACCGCTACCGAAGCGACCGGATCCAAGGAAGCCGGCTTTGAGTACGGTGAGAATCGCAAGGCCCTAGATTCCAGACCAATGCACGTCAGCAGTCACATCCGGCGACGGGGTTCGCGAGGGCTGGGAGGCCTCTCGGAATTCGCATACGCCAAGAGCGCGGGCGGCGGGGGTAGATCGCGGGTTCGAAAGGGCGGGGTGGGAAATTTTGGCTCACCTTTGCGTTGGCGAGGACGGACGGAGGAATGATCTTGTCAGGGCTGAAGGCTTGCCGAGGGTCGATGAAGGAGGTCAGGATCTTGCCGCACTTTTTGCATTCCGCTGTTTGTATCTGTTGTCAGCCGTGATGTTGCAATGATGACTGGCGGGCCACGGCACGATCGGCACCTAGGGAAAAGTGTGGACTTACACGCCATAGACGACGGGAGCGGGTTGTGGAGGCCCATGCTGACGAGTGTATCGAGGGGAGGGATTACGGTGTGATCGGTCTTCGCGTTTCTCGAGGGTCGGTTCGGGGACGTAGGAAGAGAGGGAGAGAAGGGCTGCGAGACTTGAAGGTGAAGAAAGGGAAAGAAAGAGAGCCACGAAAAAGCAGGAGGAGTGTGCCTGGGATATTGGGATGCGATTAGGTAGGCACCGTTCCTCGGGGATCCTCTCCGTCCACAGTTCCCGCAGCAGCGTGCACCAAGAGTGCGAGTGCGTGCCCACACCTCCACGTAATTAACGATTGAGTGGGGTATCCTCAGCGATACGACAGGTGAGAAGAGCCGCCGAGGGGCCTGCGCCTCTTAATTTTCCTCTAGCTTGTAGTCGAATTTCCTTCCTGTTTTGGGGGGTTTTTGGGGGGAGGGGTCTGCCTGACTTTATTTCTTTCCTGTTGGGCTTGGGGGACTCGACATGCGACATGAAGCAAGGCACTGATTCCCTCTCGGAGCCATTTGCCCAGGGTTTTCTTTTTAAGCTTTGTTGATTCAGCCGAACCATCGTACGAGGCACCACTGAGCAACAATTGGACGACTTTGCAGCTCATCAAACACGACAAATTGGCGAGCGGCGCACGTTGATGACTTCGGGAGGCTTGGAAATCTTTTCAAATCATTTGGGGTCAGCCAACAGCAGCACCAGGTGACATTGGCTTCCGTCAGCTCTGGGATCGTCGGGACACAATTTCGAGAACCAGGACCGGGAGGCGAGCCAGCTGCCCTGATGAGGCGCTGCAAGCTTGACAGAAGCCCGGGCGGGAGAGGGTGTGACCTTGACGAGTTCGCATATACAAGGTAGGCGCGATGAGGTAATCCGTCCTCTACATAGTAATTCGCGGGGTACCTCGACGTCTAGTCGAGGGGGGAGGCTGCTTGGTCTCTCTTCCGGCTCCGGGCCACTGTGGCGCAGGCCTACTGACGCGCAACCCCACCGGCAAGGATGCGGCTTCCGAGAAAGCGCAGAGACCATCTGCTGACAATGTCACTTTTTTGGAGAAGCCGTCCGGGGTGTGTGCTTCTTCTTGGGCCCGGCTCGCCTGCCGCCGTCGGAGACCCATCCAGCCAGGCCCCCAGCCTCGCCTTTGTGAGAGCAGATCAGCCAGACAGACCGACGGAAACGCACCAGCCCTCCGAACCCCCATCGTCATTGTTTCGCCGCCCGAATCAACCACATCCGCAACCTCCATTGTCAGAGTCACGACAGACGCAGAGACGCACCTTACTTCCACCCTTTATTGCCGCTCCCTAGCACATTCACCAAGCGCCGACACTAAAGACGAAGTCCTCTCGCGAACACGTGAAAACCCTCCATCGCCGCACACGATCCACGCGACCACGAGAACCACGTCCACACCCACGACGACAAAGGCGATCTAGCACACGCGGCTGTCGACATAAGCCTCAGCGGCGTATACCCACCCAAGAACCCTCATCGCAAAGTCTACCGAACCCTCCCGCTCCGCACCGCATCGCTCCGCCCTCCGTCTCCCGAACCCCTTACCGGATTCTCTCGCCCCTGTCCTCCGTCCTCCCACAGAAACCTGCAAAAATGTCAGAAGCCTACGAGCGCGAGCGCCAAAACAATGCCCGCCTCGACGAGCTGTCGGCCAAGGTCTCGGCTCTCAGGGGCGTGACGGTCGACATTTACGACAACGCGCGCGCTCACGAGGTCATTGACAGCACCGTACGGTCCCCCCTTTTCCCTCGTCCTGCCTCGGGTCGGGCGTAACCCATTGTCGAACCCCGTAATTAACCATGTCTCTCCTCTATAGTCCGAGACCTTCTCCTCCATGTCCACCCAGCTCAAGGGCTCCGCCGGCCGCCTAACGCGTATGGCCGCCTCGGGGAACAAGGTCGCCATCCTCAAGCTGTCGGGCATCATCATCGGCATCTTCATCGTCTTGTACTACATCGCAAAGCTCTTCTTCTGAAGCGGATAATAGATGATTTATGCTTCGACGACAATCGCCTATTCGGAGATGAGTCTGTTTCTCCCATGGCGATTTCAGGTCCAACCAAATTCACGACGGAACACGCCGAGCTTTTTCAACTGCTTCAAAATAAGGAATTAAAGGGGGGGACAACCCAACAGCGGCCTGGAAACCAACATTACGGGAATGACACATACGGGAGTAAAACTTTTAAATAGGGCGCGCGTGGACGTTCAAATACCCTGCGCATGGATTTGGAGTTTTGGGGGGGCCAGCAGGACCGTCTGACTGTATTAGCACGAGCAAACTAGCACTGCACGCACAAATGTTCATGTCATTGTTTACCATGAGTTTCAATGCTTGCTTTATATTCGGGCAAATTCTTGATCTATGACGCTTTTGCATTCGAACCACCAACATGCCCATTGGGAAATCCCCCTTTACTAGGCATGTCTCCCGACGTCACCATTGAATATCTATAAATCAACGTAAATCCAGGGCCTGGTCTTGGGAAGCGCACACCAGCCTTTCACTCCCCACCGAGATCCCCCATTGCTCGGCTTGCAATTTACTGCCAAACATTCGAAAAGAGATCCTCGCTGCCACCGATCGGCTTGGCCGATCCGGAACCAGCAGCGGGTTCCGTGCTGCTGGTCCATCCACCGAACTCTTCATCGGCGGCGACCTTGGGCGCGGCGCTGAAGCCACCAGACGCTCCGGGGACAATCGGCGTGCTGGCAAACGATCCAGTAGGCAATCCCGAGGACACTCCAGACGAGCCCCATCCACCAAAGTCACCAGTTCCTCCAAAGGCGGGCTTGGGTGCTTCCGCAGGCTTGGGAGCAGCGGGAGTAGCGGCCGCAGTGTTCGTGTCGGGTGTGCTCCAGGCGTTGGAGCCCCAAACGTCCGAGTTTGACCAGTTTCCTGAGCCGATCGTGCTTGCAGCTGCGGTCGGGTTGGCAGCGGGGGGTGTTGACTTGGTTTGGTTTGAGAGGTTGAAGACGGAAGAGGAGGCGGGAGTGGGGGACGGCTTGCTGGGGGCAGCGGCAGGCTGAGCAGGAGCGGACAAATCGAACAGGTCACCCATGGACGACGCCGGTTGAGCGGGCTTTGGCGGGGACTGGGCTGCAGCCGGGGCAGGGGAACTGGACCAGCCAAATCCGCCAAAGCCACTGTTTGAAGGTTGCTTCTGATGTGCTGAGGGCGCAGGGGCCGCCGGCTTGGAGTCGAAGAAGCTACCGCCGCTGAGACCGCCAAAAGCGTTGTTGGAGGCGGGCGGTGGTGATCTGGTGCTACTGACGGGACTGGCCAGGCTTGCGAACGGGTCTGCCTGAGCCGGCTTGGGGCTGGTGGTATTGGAGAAGCTGAGGCTGCTGAAGGCATCAGTCATGCCGCCAAAGGACTGTTGCTGTTGGTGTCCAAAGGTAGGCGAGGGCATGCCGCCAAATGCCCCGCCGGCGGCCTGAGGAGCCTGTTGCTGCTGCTGTTGGGGTTGCGGTCGCGGGGCCGAGGCGTAGAGTGACAGGATAGACTGCTTGAGGTCTGGCCGCGAGGGTCCTCCCATGCCACCTGCATTGTTGGTGCTGGCGGGTCGTGGAGGAGCAGCGGGCTCGCCGAAGAAATCCAATCCCAATAGAGAATCCTTAGTGCTCGTGGCCTTTGGGGGCGCGGGCTCGGATTTCGGGGGCACCTTGCCAGGCTGCGGGCCGGCCGTACTGGCTCTGGGGATGGGATCACCGCCGATAAGATCGACTTGCGGCTGCGGGGAAGTAACGTTCCTGGGAGGAGCCGCCGACTTTCCAACCGAACTCTTGCGAACCGATTCCCTTCGCTCCACGTTCTGCTTCTCCTTGACTAGGCTCAAAGGCACATCGTCGTCGCCGTCGACATCGAGACTGGCGGGGTCGGGGATGGGGCCGTCCATTGTCCAGCGCTTGAGCTCGTACTTGGTGCGGATAAAGTTCTCGATCTTGGATTCGGAGGGGACGTGGCCGGGAGCCAGCTTGGCCTCCCAGTATTTGTTTGCGCGCGCATTGCCCCAGCTGAGGATGCTTCGAAGCTGTTCGTCGGTCCAGGAATCGAGATCGACAGACTTGACTCTGCTGATGTGCGTACCCATGCCACGATGGATACCCGAACACCGGATGCAGATAAATACGCCGAGGTTCCAACTAGCCCATCGCGGGTCTGCAACGTGGCACCGTCAGTGGGAAGATCGAAGGGTATGGGAAAGAAGCATCGCCTCAGACTTACGCTTGTTCTTTTTGCAGTCGGCGCATACTTTGTTGCACTCCAACTTCAAGAGGCTCTTGATTGTCTGCTGGTTTTGGGCCGCTCTTTCGGCAGCGGGGTTCGGTGGCGGTCTTCGAGACATCGTGGCCTTTGTTTATGTGTGTACGAGGCTAAAGGATTGAGGGGTTTCTGCGGCGGGCGGGTCTTTTGTATCGTCGCGCGATCTCCAGTTGATGCAGTAGGTACAGTCGGAGAGAAAGGGGAAGGATCGCAAGATCGCAGAGTTGACCAGCTGGACCTTAACCGTCGTATGCCTAGGGTCAATATTACGGAGTAGAGTATCCACGCGCCGCTGATACCGGCCAGGTAAGGGGCAATTGGGGGTCGAGTCCGTAGAACATGTCCCTGCCTAAGGCAGTGATGACGGCAGTGGAGGTGGGGTCCTACCGTTCCACTGTACATCGACGGAAAAGGTGGTAGATGCGCTGACAGGTGCCCGTGTTCATTGGCAGGTGCCCATGTTAAATAGGCTGCGTTTGTGTTAGTTGGACCTTGTCCCGACAACACGCATATCTTCACATTTGCTATATTGCGAGACGATGTATAGCAATCGCTTTGCTTTCCATTTTTTCTTTAGTCCTGAAGGCTCACAAGAGAACGGCTTGATCATCTACTCGTAGTTCTGACATTCCAAGCAATCCTGTCTTACTCATGATGCTTGCGCTTAGACCCTGTCAACAGAGTTTAGAAGAAAAAGACTTATGCATGGAAGAATCCAAAACTTCAGATAACAACTTGAGCAATAGCTCCGCGTTCAGACCGATACACGGACTTGTCGCAGGCTCTTATGCTTTCCAAGGTGCAGAGTTGGCTCGATGAGGGGCTACAAGTCGTCTTACGAGCTCAAATCCCATACGCCGAGTCTGCCTGCTATCCATAGCACGGCATTGATGTTGTTTGCGCTTACCCAAGCAGATGCCATGACTTGGGTTTGATTTGAGCCATTTGATGACAGCCTCAGAGCACGTTGTCATCCAGCATTCTCCAGTCAAGTGCCAGGTTGAACGGTCGACGACAGGTCTCAAGAGTTAGACACTGGCTCAGCATCATTGACTTGATGACACTCGCTGGCCATCGATATTAGTAAAACCTGAACCCTTCGACGGAAGTATAGCCGTGAGTCATGTTGGACTTGTGCAGGATATCTTCTAGTATCATACCACGGTATCTGGTCTCTCTCCCACTCCCCGGCACATGCCTAGCTTCGTTGGAAAGAATAACCAATGTCTGCTTCTCTGGGATGTGGACCACACCTTGATGGACCGACCAACAGCAAGGGTATTAGCAGGTTACTTATGAGGCCTGCAACACCGTCCAATATCGTCCTCTCGTGCCATTTCGTGTGCGTTGCAATGAGTCCGGGGGCTCAGCGCTCCTCCAATCCAGGACGTTTCGGCAGCGCTTGCCCGGAAAGGGACCAGCCAGCATCAATGGCCGCAAACATGTTGCAGAGCCATAGACACTGAATCGAGGGGGCTAACCAGTTGAGTTGCGGGGGCGGGACGCCGGTGCATTAGGTGAACGTGGGGGAAGTGAGGGGTCGCGCGTCCCTCGCGTCCGACTTACACCTTAATCCGTCGCATCTTGATGCCTCTCCGACGGATCCTCTGTCTGTCATAGGCAGAATCGTTACCCAAGTCTGCGTCTGTTCGCCTGACGGCGTCATTGCCCGCATCGGACACCCAGCTCCCATTAGCACATGCTATTAGCTGAGCAAAAGTTCCCCCCGCCGACGGAGAGGCGCGATATCGCTCGACATCCATCTCGGAACCTTTCCCTTTGGATCCAAATCAGCCATGCTGGTTTCCGTCCGCCGTGCCAACCTCAAACTCGGACGTGTGTAGCTCCGTCATGCGGGGGGTGCTTTGTATATAAACCTAAGCGGCGGTCGCGTGTATAAACCTTCTTTGTGAAGTAGTTCTCCTTAGCTCCCAAATCTAGCATTCTGTACTGGTCGGGTTTTGCCCTGCCTCACATTCTACCTCGAATCAAACTTGCGAATAACTGAACGTGTAATTGTCCAATACTCTGTGTCAGCCATGGCTCCCTCTGCTATCGAGAGGATCACGTCGACAGTGTCATCTTTTTCACCCGACAGACCTCGGATCCTTGTCCCTGAGAAAGTCTCCTCGGACGGTCTCGCCCTTCTTCAAGACAAATACGACGTAGACAACCGCACCGGGCTGTCCCCCGAAGATCTCATCGACGTCATCCCCAACTACCACGCGCTGATCGTGCGATCGGAGACGAAGGTGAACGCGGCTGTACTTGCAGCTGGGAAGAAGCTCCGTGTTGTGGCACGAGCTGGCGTTGGGGTGGACAACATTGACGTAGACGCAGCGACAAGCCAAGGCATTATTGTCGTCAACTCGCCTTCCGGTAATATCCTCGCGGCTGCCGAGCACACGATTGCCCTCCTCCTCGCTACGGCACGAAATGTTGGCCGTGCAGATACCACAATGAAAGACGGGAAATGGGAAAGGAGCAAACTTGTCGGCGTTGAAGTTGGCAGCAAGACGCTCGGGATCATCGGACTCGGCAAGGTGGGAATGAAGGTTGCCCGGATGGCCATCGGCCTTGGCATGACGGTGAAGGCGGTTGATCCATATGCCAGCGCCGAGATTGCTCGCCAAGCGAGTGTCGAGCTTGTGCCTGATCTCGAGAGCCTGTTACCGATTGTGGACTTCCTGACAATCCATACTCCGTTGATGGCAAGTACATTGGACCTATTGAAGGAGAAGGAGTTCCAAAAGATGAAGAAGACTGCCAGGGTCCTGAACGTTGCACGGGGCGGAGTGTATAACGAAGCTGCCCTTCTTCGTGCCTTGGATGAGGGGTGGATCGCTGGAGCTGGTCTCGACGTCTTCACCTCAGAGCCTGTCAAAGTCGATTCGGTGGCCGCTCAGTTGTCTCAACACCCCAAGGTGGTCGCTACACCGCACTTGGGCGCGTCCACGGTCGAAGCCCAGGAGAATGTCTCGATGGATGTCTGTACGCAGGTTGTCGAGATCCTCCGGGGCGGACTGCCGACGGCAGCTGTCAACGCGCCATTGATTATGCCGGAGGAATACCGCAAGCTGCAGCCGTTTGTGCGGCTCATCGAGAAGATGGGGGGCCTGTACACGCAACATTTCGTTGGCGGCAGGGGCGGCATGGTGGGTGGCCGGCAGTTCGAGCTCATTTACCAGGGCGACCTGGCAGGCATCTCCAACACACGGCCGCTGTTTGCCGCTTTGGTGAAGGGTCTTGTCTCGTCCATCAGCGACTCTGGCGGACGTGATGTCAACATTGTGAACGCCAGCCTCACCGCCAAGCAAAAGGGCATCATCATCAGCGAGACGCACAGCGGAGAGGTGAATAACGCGGTATACGCCAGCTTGGTGACGCTCCGGTCACACGGCAAGGATGGCGAACAGGTCATTGAGGGGTATGTCTCGGGACAGAGCATATACATCTCCAAACTGGACCGATTCAGCGCAACATTCCAGCCGCAGGGGACGATGTTGGTGTTGCACAACTACGACGAGCCAGGCAAGATTGGCGGTGTAGGAACGGTCCTGGGCCGGCATGGGATCAACATCACCTTCATGCAGGTGGCCAGCCTGGATGACGAGGAGAAGAAGGCGGAGGAAGGCAACGAGGCGCTCATGATTTTAGGTGTGAAGGGGAAAGTTGGCGTTGAAGTGGTGGATGACTTGCAAAAAGCAGAAGGTATTCTCAACGTAAGCCTGGTAAGGTTGTGAGGAGGAGAAAGGATGGAGACTGGTGGGAAGTAGAAAGAAATCGTATGGGATTCGTTTGCCGCATTCCGCATGCCGCATGCCAGCGATAACCTCCAGCCAGGACGAAGCAGAGTCGTACTTTCTTTGGGGGGAGGGGGGGCCGGTTCCCCCCACGAGTTCGTGGATCTTGGCAGCTTTTGTGATACTACTGACGAGTGAAAGAGGTCAATCGAGAGGCGGCACGGCGAATAAACTGGGGACTGTTGCAACACTAAACGCGGGCGGCCATCTTAGTGCCTAACTAGATCGATGACAGCGACCCTGGCCATATAAGTATGGCAATCTCTTCCAAAGCAGAACCGACACGTTGTCGTGCTTTCACGTCGAACAAGAAGCTGCATTTGTGTCGCTACAAGTCGGATAACGGCAGCCGTTGCGAAATGGGGTTGTTTGCGATGTTGCCGCTCGGATGCATCGCTCGCTCCTGTTGCTGCAACGTTTGCCAAGTTTGCGACAGTCCACAGCAGATCTGACGGTTTTGTGCAACTTCTCCGTAAATGCACGAAATACGTGTGGGGCCGAGGATTTATCGAGTGAAGGTCAATGCCACCTCAAAGTCTGTGAACTGGCGGACGCAGGGTCGCTGCCACGACCCGTGGACTCCTTGGTGGTTCTCCAGCGCTGTGATGTTGACATGGATGGGCAATCCTTCGAGTTCCCAGCTGGTCGACGACTAGACAGCTCGGCCGACCACTGACGCGTCGTAGCGTCGAGTCGTTTCGCCATGAGTAATGGCGTTTTGTGCACTTAAAATACCGCGAGATACTTGCTCACGCGAGCAAGTCTCGTCAGTGGATGCCAGGATGGAGGCATGTATCTTTGCACTGCACAACCAAGGTAAGGGGACTTATGCTTAGGTTGAGCTCTACATGTGCCGACGTCCCGAGGGCAGGGGACCAGCCAGCAATAGAGCCTCAATTGGCGCCGAATAGAAAGACTGGAGCATGTGCCTCGGCCTAGACCTTGAGCTTCAGTTCATGCGAGGAGTTCCGACCATCGCGATTTCATCTACTACCCAGATCTAGGAACAAAACATTTCGGCCGCGGTATTTTGTCCTGCATAACATTACCCCGGATTTTGCACAATCCCGGTACACACGTACCTATCTAGTGAGAATGACGAGACATTGTGTTGCGGCAAAAAAAAAAAGGCAAATGGCGGGGCAAGTGAGACGAAGCAAGAGCGCTCACTGACTATGCCCATTCCGAATAGCCGATAAACGTACGTGCCGATGACAGCCTTTTTACCTTGCGTCCTGGCACTCAAGTGGGCGGCTTGCATGCCAGTGCGGAGGTCCCAAGGTCTCTGCGGCAATGATGCATCATCCTCGCAATTCAAGACCCCGTCCCCCGACCGTTGATGACGCCAAGCTTGTGCGCCACGAGAGTCGTTGATTGGCCGGGCCTAGGTAGCACCCATTAAGAAAGAGGCAAAGCTTCCCTACTGTAGGTACCTACCTCTACCCTACCTAACCTGCCATCGCACCCCTTTCCCGTCTTTCTGTTTTCCTCTTTCCCAATAGCTCTGTCCTGGGCTTCTTTGGCATCCTCGTCTCTCGTCGCTGCAAACCTTTCCATTACAAATACGTTACGGTCTACCGTCATCAGTGACGTCCAGCAACTCCTTCCTGTGCCTTTGGTCCCCGTCCGCAAGGCTCCGTCGCTCGAACCACACTGCATCTTCATCCACAGCAAAGAACCCACTTGTCTTCCGATCTTGGCCCGTAGGTGGAGCTACTGCCCGGCTTACCTCGCCCACCTGCGTACGCACAAGCAGCTGCAGGTAAACAGAGTGGAGCACTGCACCATACCACCCTGAGTTTGCCCCGTTTGTCGCCCGTCTCCCGCGTCCGCCACATAAAATGTGCGCTTGACCTTGCTGCTTTTCCACGCACTCTACGCCTCTTCCCACGACACACGATCTCTCAATTGACGAGCCGAGGATTATGGCCACAAGGGGAGTCGTCCCGACACGACGGGCCAACAATGCCGGCGGCTTCGGTCTTTTCCGCACCGCCGTGCTCGGCCTCACAAAGGCTTTGACGCTGGGTGTATCTTCCGTCGCCGCCGCGCCCATCCACGCCGTAACCCATCCCGACAAGGAGCCCGAGGCCGATGGCGCATCTTTTTGGCCTCTTATGGGTGCCTCCATCGCGCTCGTTCTTCTTGGTGGTGCTTTTGCTGGATTGACCATCGCGTGAGTACCACTTCCATATCTTACGTCTGCTTTGCCGATGCCCATTTGCTAACATTGGCCTCCAGCCTGATGGGACAAGACAGCATCTACCTCCAGGTCCTCGCCGGCGACCCCGACGAATCGCAGTCCAAGAACGCCAAGCGCGTCTACAACTTGCTCAAGAAGGGAAAGCATTGGGTCTTGGTCACTTTGCTTCTCTCCAACGTCATCGTAAATGAGTCTCTGCCCGTCGTCCTGGATCGCTGTCTGGGCGGAGGCGTCGAGGCTGTTGTTGGCAGTACTGTGCTTATTGGTACGTGGAAAAGGAACTTTGTGGGTGCGCAACCTCAACTAACACGTTCGCGCAGTCATCTTTGGCGAAGTTGTGCCTCAATCCGTCTGCGTTCGATACGGTCTTCAGATCGGTGGCTACATGTCCAAGCCTGTGCTTGTGCTCATGTGGCTTATGGCGCCCATTGCTTGGCCCACGGCTAAGCTTCTTGACTGGGCGCTGGGCGAGGATCACGGCACCGTGTACAAGAAGAGCGGCCTGAAGACCCTGGTTACCCTGCACAAGTCCCTTGGCGAGGTTGGCGAACGTCTCAACCAGGATGAGGTCACCATCATCAGCGCCGTTTTGGATTTGAAGGAGAAGCCCGTCGAGAATGTCATGACCCCTATGGACGATGTTTTCATCATGGCCGAGGACACCGTTCTTGACGAGAAGACTATGGATAGGATCCTGTCCGAAGGCTACTCTCGCATTCCCATTCACGCCACTGGAAAGCCGACCGACTTTGTAGGCATGCTCCTGGTCAAGATCCTCATCACCTACGACCCCGAGGATTGCTTGCAGGTGAAGGACTTCCCCTTGGCCACGCTCCCCGAGACCCGTCCCGAGACAAGCTGCCTGGATATTGTAAACTTCTTTCAAGAGGGCAAATCCCACATGGTCCTGGTATCTGAGTATCCCGGCGCTGACTACGGTGCCATTGGTGTCGTTACCCTCGAAGACGTGATTGAGGAGCTTATTGGAGAGTGAGTTGTGACCTATCCGTCCTCTTTTGGAAACGTATTAACGCGTCACAGGGAAATTATCGACGAGTCCGACGTATACATTGACGTACACAAGGCCATCCGCCGCATGACTCCCGCACCCAAGGCGCGAACTCCGAAGAAGTCCGCCCAACCCTCCCCCAGACCTATCCCAGAGAACGGCGATCTCATCGAGTTTGGCGAAGAACCGCATCCTCCGTATGAACGCAATGGATCAATTAGTGCTCTGAGTGATGCCCCAGAGAATCTGTCTAGCAGTGCGCCGAGGACAACATTCCTGATGAGAAGGAGTTCCGCAGGTCCAGACGGACGTATGACTTCATCCGCCGTCCCAGTTAAGGCTACATTCGACGAGGCCAAGCAGCACCTCAAGCACCTCGGGCCTTCCAACCGCGCATCGAACCCCAAGAACACAAAGTCCACGACAGTCAAGATCAAGCCTGTTCCGACTGGTGCGCCCCTGTCCCAGCTCCACAGCCCCTCTCCGGCTCTTCGCCCCGCTTCCGTAACTGGCGACGTGAGCGAGCACAGATTGGACGAAGAGACAGACGAACACACCCCTCTTATGCGGCCTAAGCTTTCTGGAAAGGGCGGTGTTCATGCTATCCGTAAGAGTTATGGCGCGGCGGGCAAGAGCGAGACCCAGGTCAGGCTCTCCAGCACCGCTCACGATGAAGAGGATGACAAGGGTGCTGACGGGGTAAATGTACCCGCAACCGTTCCCGAGAATGGTAGCCTCGAAGCTTCGCGAAGTGGAAGCCCCGAGGCTGCCCGAACAGACTTGACCATCGTTGTCTCTCCCGGCCAGGTCAGCAGCGCGACAAGCGTGACGAGCATTGTTGATGAAGGATCCGCTACTCCCAAGCGCCGACCTCTCGTTCGAAGCGGTAGTATCAGCGAGAACGTGGTTGAGACCAGCAGTGGCGTGCGGAAGATCATTATCCAGGCCGCTAGCTCGGACTCTGACGAGGCTGGATCTAAGGGATCCTCTGGACACCGTTCCCGGACCACCAGCCAGGCCAACGTGCAGACTGCCGGTCGCGATGCGGAGAGCGAAGAACATGATGGCGACGGCGCATCTAGTACCGCCCCAAGCACCAACAACAGCCAACAAGCGAGTAAAAAGAAAAACAGGCGAAAGAAGAGGAAAAATAAGTCGTAGACGGGTGTGATTAGGCTTCGTGGGCGGGATGCGTCTGTATGATATCGAATAATAATTTGAGCAATTGCACGAATTCCCGCACTCGATATTGCTACCACTCCCACAACGCGCCATGTTGGCGACTGAGGGGGCCTCAGTTACGGTCGTTTGAACTCTCATGTATGGTGTATATATAAATGCTATGTATTTCTATCCATTTTTGAACCAAGAAAAATCTATCTTGCCCCGTCCCAACTCCGCTTGCTGCCTCAATCATACCATATAGCGTTCATTCCGAATCCGGGTTCGGGGATACGCAGCCTCGCGACACGGCCGAGGAACTCGTCGTGCCAGCGGTAAATCTCGATCCAGCCCTCCTGGTCGTCGGTGATGGCGAGCCACTCGTCGCTCCAGTCGCAGGGGCTGACGGCGTTGCTGTGGCCTCCGCTGGTGGGCGTGGGGTTCAGGCAGATCTGCCGCTCAATGTGGCCGTTGTCGCCGAGCTTGAAGGCGGCGATGTAGCCCGTGACGTCGAAGCTGTTGGAGCGGGCCGTCGCGAAGAGGTACTTGCCGCTGTGGGAGAGGACGCAGACGTCGGAGCGGTACATTTTGTTCTTGGCGCCGGGGATGCCCGGCGGGATCAGGGGAAGGAGCGGTGCGTGTAGACGGGCAGCTGGGTGGACGGGTCGATGACGTACTCGCAGAGGCGGTTGCCGGCCTCCATAAGGGCGTAGAGGTACTTGCCGGTAGGGTGGATGGCGACCCAGCGCGGGTGGTCGCCCGGGTCGGGGGCGTCGACGGAACCGACGAGGTCGAGCTCCGCCGAGTCCGCGGACTGCTTCTTGTGGACCCAGAGCTTGTTGGCGGTGAGGTCGGCCGAGTAGAGGTAGGTCTCGGTGGGGTCGAAGACCATGCCGTGGATGCCCGAGTTGGGGTCATAGGGGTAGTTCTGGACGTTTGTGTGGAGGGCGCCGGTGGGGGAGACGGTGAAGATGTTGCCGTGGGAGGCGTGCTTGTAGAAGGGGTTGCAGTAGACGGCGTAGGGGGGCTTCTGCGCCGCGAGCAGGAAGATTGCGCGGGTGTTTGTTGTTGAGAGGGCGGCGTTGGCTGGGCAGTGTTAGCTGGGCAGTCCTGGTGAAGCCTGGAGAGGCTTTCTGCCGGCCGGCACGGGTGCGTCGCAGCATAGGGTAGAGCGTGAGACGTACGATCATGGGTCATGTCGTGAGAGGCCTCGTGGATGATCTCGGAGGGGCTCTTGACGGCGAAGCTGGACCACTTCTTCATGGCGGCGCCGTAGATGTTCTTCTTGTCGTGCTGTCGATTCATGTCGTGTAAGCCAACGGGTCCAACTGGTTCCGACAACGCATTCCCACACAACGGCTCCAAGGTCATCTTACGCTGAAGGTCATCCACGAGATGGGCTGGTCCTTGGGGATCTCGGTGCGCTTGACGAGCTCGAGAGTGAACTTCTCGTCGTCAAAGGCGACGGTGAAGATGGCACCCGGCGGGGTCCATGTCCCGATCATGAGGTGGTGGACGGGCATCTTGGGCGTCGTGGAGAAGAGCCTGGCAGTGGAGGTTGTCTTGAGGGTTGCAAAGAGTCGCGATGGCCGTGGGGGCATGGGCTGAACGAAACTGCTTCGCAATGAGGAAAAAAGCGGCGCGAAGTCGGAGAAGCTAGGAGCGAGGTTCCGGCAAGTATTAAGAGGCCAGCTTTTAGGTGTATAGCTCGGGCTACAATTGGTAAAGATCACGATATCTGCGCTTTACAAGGCCAGAAAGAGAATCATGTGAAAGAGAAAAGATGGGAAGGGATCGAGGTGACGAAAGATTTAAGAAAAGAACTATGTACCTTGCATTATGGGGGACGGGGGAAAGATAGAGAGTTGGAGCTGTTGCTGCCCCTCGTTTCCGAACCCCGGACGACGAGGGGCACGGTGCATGGAGAAGAAGGAAAAAGACCCGCTTTGGATAACTGCAGGGTGGGGTCGCCGCAATTTAGGAGGGGCCGTTCGGGAGATGTGGGCGGTAATTGGCCTACGAGGGACGATTGCTCCCGGCAGAGTGTTCTTCCCCCGCGTTCTCACTACTTTTTCTTGGAGCTATCAGCCAGCGCCCGGAGTTGTGATTTCACGGGCTCGAACGATAGATATATATCCAGGCCGGTTTCTCACGATCGACCCGGGAAGAAGTGGACTGACGTCGAATGATGCTGGCCGGCTCGTATGACTTGGCCGGTCAGTTGGCGCAAGGAACGCTTACTTTGAGCGAGCAGTGTCCCTCGTCCTGTACCGACTGCTAGATCTTGATTCCCAATCGGTGACACTTCGAGATCGGAAGCGCATGACCCGGGAGCCGGCCGACAACACACAAACCTCGGCGCTCCCATTCCACTGCCCGCGGCAATGAGACTGTGCGGAGGCACTCAAAGGCCTCATTGACCAATCAGTCGACCTTGAACACCCGAATGGAGGGGCAATTTGGACTGTAAATTCAGGTCCCCGGTTGTCATGTTGCTTAGCCTTCCCGGGCTAACCCAGTCATGCGGATGCGGGCCGATTTCACCCCGCCCTCCCTCCAACCACGTTCCTCTCTGCTGTTGCGCTAGACCTCTACCTTTGCTTTTTGCGCATTTCCCGTTAACGACAGCTTCACATCAGGGTATTGTGCCAACCATGGCCGATTGGAGAGAGGGAACCAATTGTAGAAGGCTCCTGCCAGGATAATATATACTTAATTCCGTACTGCCCTGCTGACCTGTCAAGGTTGCCGAGTGCCAAAATCTGGCCTCCTGCTCTTTGCATTCACCTGTTGGCCGGCGGCGCCGCCATCCAAGCACGCTCCTCATCCTCCCGTTTCCCTGGTCTCATCTTCTTGAAAAAAGAGGTTACATCGACGACTTTATTCTCAATACCAATCTCAAGCTACGCTACGTCAGAACCGTTTTGTTCATTTTCAGATTGTGATCGGTAGTTCATGTACCTTAGTAAACTTGAAGAGGAGCCACACGGCCGATGTGAGGCCAGAAATAACCGTAGCGAATACGATATAAATCCACCAGGGCGGGTTGTTTTCGAGTATGTCTATGTTCATTCCGAAGAGAGTCTTGCTCACGTTAGTATACACTAATGTGTCCACAGAGTGCTTGGTCTTACCGCTACGAAGGTGAGTGGAAGAAATATGAACTAAACAAAGACTTAGTACGAGGCAGGAGTAGAGCGTATATTCAGGTTACCGTTATCCAACTCAAACGCTTCATACTTGTTGACATGTTGACTGATTGTCGTGCCTCCCTTATGGATACTAGGTTGAATTCCTTTCCTCAGATATTAGCCCAACGGGATCGATCGTACAATATAGTAGGATACGCTCACCAATTGAATGATGTCTCTTGAGTTCTCGTCCAGCAAATCGAGTTTCTTACCAATATCATTGTAGAATTGGTCCAAGACTTCGTCCAGGTCGCCCGTCTCGTTATACTTCCTGGAATAACTCTTGATGAAATCTCGGATCTTCGACGTGAACCTTCCCAGCTGCTGTCGATAATTCAGCCACTTTAGGCCATCTTCTAACAGCGTGTTCAAGAGTTGCGGATCACTTCCATTGGAATTGATCACCTGCCTGCGAAGCTATTAAAGGCTCAGTATGCGGTGCGTGCGGCGCCCTTTGAGTTGATAGAGGAGCACATACATTGACGTCCGCGAGATGGGCGTCGCAATAAGCAAGCCAGTTTGACTTGACGTGGGATATAAAGTAATGCAAGAACTCGGTGCCGTTCTCAGGGAGCCATACACTTGGCATCGTGGTGAAATGGGCCTTCGTGCGCCATAGTTTTGCCCCATCTTCGGAACCTGTCAACTCGACATCCCAGCCTATAATTACGCGTCGTGACTCTTGGTTGATAGTATGCTGCGGACTAGCTGGGAGGGTGATATCGACAAAGTAGCTAGCGTAAGTGTTGCGTGATTCATCAGCTAGCCTGATTGACTCCATGATTCCCAGTTCGAAACGTTCAAACTGAGGCCCGTTTGACGGGTCTTCGACATCAGGCCAACCCGGGGGAGGGCGTATATTACCCAAGTCAAAGCGTTGTCTTCATTGAACAGTAAGTAATGCAAGACACGAAATGAGAGACCCTGAAGGACTTACAGCATATACTTTTCTTGGTTACCGCTTTTTCTAATTGTCTCAACTTCCTTAGGTAGGATCCGGAGAGCAGTATGCCCTGTGAGGAACTCCCTGATTTCTAACAATTGGCATTCTTGCCCGCCTAGAAAACTACGAAGCCGAGTAGGATCTCGAGATTTTGTTTCTGAGCCTTTGTCGACTAGAAAGTGGAATATCTCCAAGTTCCCAGTGTGGATAGCAAGTCCCAGAGGAGTTGCGCCATTCGCGTCCTTGGCGTTTATATCTGCACCTGCAGAAATGAGATCGGCCACAATATCAGCGCGTTCAAATGTTACCGCGTCATGCAATGGGGTCCGCCTTAGGAAGTCCAGAGCGTCAACTTCGCATCCTGCATCGAGCAAGCCCTTCACGAGCTCTGTGTTGCCATCCCGGATAAGCGCTCGTAGTGTGGTTGTATCCTTCTGACAAAGGTATCGCACCACCGTCTCATTCTTGCTTCGAGCTGCCCACAGCAAGGGTGTGCGCCCAAGTGAGTCTCTAGCAGACACCGCCATTCCGCTCTTCACCAAGCTCTCCACGACCTTTTCTAGTCCGAAGTAGGCGGCCAGATGCATACTAGTAACACCCCGGGCCACATTTTGGCTGTAGCCAGGAGCTGAAGATCCATTACTATGCACCATGATTGCTTGGGTCGACATTGCGACGTTGTCGTCGTCGTTCAGGAAGCTCAGGAGGTTTTGACTAGGCTCCGAATACTCGTGGGCGTGGTATCCCCAGTTGCATGATGCGTACTGGAAGAAGAGATTGGACTCCAACCTTTTCTCAAACTCCCAGTCGGTTTGAGAAGGGCCATGGGGCCCTTGAATATGCGACAGATATTGCACACAGCAATCCATGATCGTTTCATGGATCTTCGACTGGTGGTCGTGCAGTGTTTGTCTAAAGTATTCACCAACAGCAGGGTGATAGAACTGGACAGTTCTAGGCCCTTTATCAGACACCTCTATGATTCCATGACATAGCAAGAAAATGTCATCTAGCTCTGGAAGAGGTTGTTGATACCTGGAGACCCCAGCAATGAGCGCGTATCTGAACTCATCGACGGTGAGAGGTCGTTTGGAGAAAGCAACCCATTCAATAGCACTCCTTGCAAAGCTTATTCCAAGTCTTTCTAGAAGAGGCTTGAATAGTCCGTCAAAGACATAGTTCAGGTCCTGCGGGCTTACGGTCCATGCATTAAGGAAGCGCTCCGCTTCTAGCTTGCTGCGTAGCCTGGACAACAACAAAACCAGGCGGGTGGCAACGTGGAATCTATATGCGTTAGTAGACTTGTCAAGTACAACCTGCTCTTTCCTTGACAGCGTTACTTACATGCCCTTCGTTTCCTTGACGACTTGATGAAGGAGCTGATCATCGTTCCAGAAAGGGAGCGAATGAGTTGCGCCGAGACTGGTGAAGACGTAGGTCTTTACATCTGCATAAGAGGAAGTTACTGGCAAAATGACGACACGTTCGAGTGCCCTCGTTATTCCAGCTGAAGGTCTTGTAGTTGCGAGGATTTTGAGGGGGCCCCTAAGACGTCCGTGTTTCGAAATCTTGTCAAACGATTCCCACAGCGTGGACAAGGCCTCAGGTTTCACTTGCTCAAGTCCATCCAAAAAGATGATCAGCCGCCACGACATATCATGACGAGTCCTTGATAAAAAGTCGCTGAAATACTGGAAAGAATCTGATCCTTGGTGCGCTTCGTCTAAGCCAAAGTGTTGCTCTAATTGTCGGACCAGTGAACCGAAAAAGTCATTTCGGGAGGTGCCATTGGAACAATCCCAAAACAGCACAGGATCCTGGGATAATTTCAGTCTCTCAGTGACTGCATAAGCCAGTGTTGACTTTCCTACTCCAGGGGGCCCAACGAGAAGAAGCGTCTCTTTGTCTCCCGTTTCCCATTCTGTGTATTCGTCGGTGTCGAATATCCACTGACAAGTTCCTGCTCGCCAATGTTTTCGGGACTCGGTATGTAGGTTCTCCATGTGTTCCTATGGCGTCAAACTTCGTAGGAAGCCTTCCCAGGGCCTATTATCACGCCGTATGGAAAGTGACCGTATCGTCGAAAGCGAGACGAATGAGTCGCAGGGGCATGTACGGCTATGATAGCTTGTAGTTGACATAGAGCTCGGACGAGAGTTCCGAGACTTTTCGCTCCTTGGTGACCCTCGGGTTGTTTCCTTTCCAGTATCTCGTATTGAGATAAAGAGCTAAAGATAACAAAAGGATAAATTAAGCAAGCAGGGAAAAGAAAAGTCAGAGGTTAATGAGACAGATATCAGAAATCGTAGAACTTGAATCTGATGTTGATGTTTGGTCACCCTCGCAGTGGCACTTTGGAGTTCGTGGGAAAGGCAGCGAGGTGAGTGATTGAGGGGAAGACGTGAAAAAAGGCTGGGGTGATTGGCAGAAGAAACGTCTCAGGCCGCAACTGGTGTGTTGGGCTTGCCTGCAAGGCTTCGGTATTTGCAGAAGTGCAGCTTTACACGATCCAATGGGAATCAGCAATATGCATGTTGGACCTAGGTAGCCAAGACCAACAACTAGGTGGCACAGATTCGAAGCGGGCTGGAAACAGAATAATGATCATGCAGGCAATAGTGGCTCTAGGATAGAGATGGTATATCTTCCATTAAATATTGATTTTTATCCAAAGAATGGAGTCGGCTTCTACTAGTAATGTTACATGAAATGGAGAAGTGATGGTCGATCCTACAGCCTTGCATACCCCTACGTGCTCCTCCATCAGCCTGTACCAGAAGCCGGCGAATGCTCATACAGCCTGCTGAAAGCTGATGCTTGTCTCAGCAGCTGCCTGGGCTCGCCGAACTCGACAACCACGCCCGCATCAAGCACCGCAATTCGGTCAAAGTCCAGAATCGACTCCAACTTATGTGCGATGGCGATGATGGCCCAGTCACGGAACCAAGTCCGTAGTACTTCATCAACAATCCGACTCGACTCCTCGTTTAGACTATGACGCATGTTAGCGAGTCTCCACTTGGCGAGGAAACGTAGGCTTGGGTCTTACCTGCTGGTGATCTCATCCAAGATGAGCACCTTGCCCTTCCTCAGCATCGCCCTCGCGAAGACCAACAACTGCGCCTCGCCCTGCGAAAAGAACTTGTCGTCAATGACCGCGCCGAGCCCGCCTCGCTCCTCGACCTTGTCCCAGAGTTGTACTCTTTCAAGAACAGCTACGAGCTCCGAGTCTGGGGCGGTCTCGGTGGGGTCGAGGTTCAGACGGACCGTTCCATCAAAGATGTATGACTCTTGCGGTACGGCGACGAGCTTAGAGCGGACGTATTCGTGTGGGAGGGTGGAGATGTCGACGCCGTCGATCGTGATGGAGCCGGAATCTAGGTCCATCATGCGGAGAAGACAGAGGATGAGAGAGCTTTTCCCGCTGTTTTCGATGTCAGATACCTCTTGACGGGTTCTCCGTGGAGCGGCGAGCGACAACTTACCTGCCTGTTCGCCCGCATATAGCGACCTTTTGGCCCGGCTGTATCGATAAGTCGACCCTTTTAAGGATGGTGCCGGACGACCTGCACATGTTTTAGCCTCCATCTCGTCGACGTCTCAAGATATCTCCCCGAACTCACGGATATGACGCCGTTGCACCACAAAACTCAACCGCACCTCGACTGGGCCACTGCCCTTCCGGCTCAGTGAGATGGACCTCGGAATCCCCTTCAGGTCTTGTAGTCAAGGTAAAGTTCCTCACCCGCGCAACCGCGCCGAGCGAAACTTCCAACGTAACCCATGACGTGATGATCGTCTTGACAATGCCGCTAAACGACAAGATGTTCGTCAGAGCAATACCTATGAAGCCAGGTCCGATCTGTTCCCTGAGGGTCGTAACGAGTGCAATCAATACGAGAGCAATGACCGCAATAACCATGTCCACGGAAAATGTCAGCCACCGTTGGAGGCAAGTGAGTAAATAGCTAGGCCGCTGCGAGTTATCTAGCCGGTGCAGATTCGTCTTCTCAAAGTCGTCTTCCCACTTGAACGCTCTGATCGTCGCTAAACCCTCGAGAGTCTCGATGAGCTGGGAGTAGAGCGGGGCCTTGTGCTCGATATCGAGGAGACGCATCTGACGTGAGGTGCGGAGATAGAAGTGCTGGATGGCGTAGAAGACAGGGACAAGTACCGGGAGAATGGCGGCCACGTAGCGGGAGGACACGGAAATCATTATGAAGCGGGCCACGCCGAATGCTACGCCTGAACGAGACGAGAGTTAGATGACGTAAAGCTTGTTGCGAGGGAGATAGGTGTGCAAACCAATGGCTAGCCCAAGTGCGGCAGATGGCAGTTCCATGTCAATAAGTTGGAGGTCCTGGCTGAATCTGTTGACTGTAATACCGCTGTCTACGGAGCTATGGAATGACATTGGTGCACTGAATTCGTCAGCTTCTGTCTATGGGAAGAAGAGAATCTCCACGTCTTACCGAGACGTGGTGTCCAGCAAGGCACCATGGAAATAGACGCCCGACTTGTTGATGATGACGATGAAGAGTTGCCTGGTATGGGCCGTCAGAGTTGAGGCAGGAGTAAACCAGTCTTCTTGAGACTTACCACATGCCGAAAAGAACAGACACTCCTGATCCGACCCCGAGCGCAGCATATACACCAAGCCACTTGCCAAGGTCTTGATTCGGCCTCGTCTCGTTCGACTCCGCCCACCACTTGAGCCAAATATCTGTGGCCACCACGCATCAGCTCAAATATCAACTGTTATGGTAGAGGCCAGGTGTAAGCTTTACCTGGGAAAGAATCACAAAAGGCGAATACAACCATGGCACTGGCGAAGGTAGTCAAGCTGAGCCAACCAGCTCCCTTGGCGTAGAATCTGTACATCCCCCAGTCGCCGAGCTGACGCGTGGCGTCCGCCTGGTCCTCGAGCATATCCAAGACTGTAGCTGTTGGCATATCGTTGCGATTCTCTGCTTGACGAGGCGCACCCTTGGGCAAATTGGTTGACTGGACAGTTTCTTTGCCAGGGATCTGGCTCCTCGCAGGTTTCCCGGCTATTTCGTTTTTTACGATTTGGCCGTCTTCATTGAGGACAACGACTTCGTCAGCGAATGATAGTCGACGCGCTACATCACAACTGTCAGTAAAGCGAGAATGCCGTGTCACGAACTTGAAGAACCTACAATCAGAGGATGCCAGCACAACAGTCGTGTCAGTATTCCGAAGCAAGCCTTCGCTACCGAAAAGACTGCTAAAGACGATTTCTTCAGTGGTAGAGTCTAGGCCGCTGAACACATCATCGAGAAGCATCAGTTCTTGTCTTGCATACAAAGCTCGCGCAATAGCCTGAATAAATGTTAAGACCAGGGGTTACCATTCGTTGTAGGGAGACATACCAGCCGATGTTTCTGACCACCACTCATAGAAATCCCCTTTGTTCCAGCTACGGTGTTCTCTCCCTTTGGCCAGCTAGAGATATCCTTCTCCAAAGCACAGGCCCTGACGACCGTCTGATACCAGGACGGATCAAAGGCCTTGTGACCGACGATGATGTTCCGCACCGTATCGTTGGGTATCCACGCCGTCTGACCACAGTATGTGATGCTGGCGAAGTTGGAATGTATCGCTCCCTTGAATGACGAAAGTTCACCGAGGAGGGCCTTGAGAAGCGTTGACTTCCCACACCCGACAGGCCCCAGAATCAAGGTGAAGGCACCTCGCTTGACATTCCAGTTTTCAATGTCGATGACAGGTTTGGAGTCGTCTGACCACGAGAACGTTCCGTTTATAGAAATGACGACGTTTTTAGCAAGATTGAAGCCATCAGAGCCGCTCTTTTGCATCTCGAAAAGCTCGAGATCCTGTATCGGCACACTCTTTCCTGCTGGGCTCTGAGAAGTGAGTTTTCCTGCCAAGGTTTTGACATCCCGCTCGGGGCTGTCTGTGATGAGTCTGTTGTCGCTTCGCTCATTTCCGTTCAAGAAGTCTTGTATTCTCTGGAAAGACGCAAGGGCGGCTGCGAGAATGGGCAAACCCATGACGATACCAACCAGAGGCTGGTTCACGAGAATCAAAAGAGAGTACGCCGTGAAAGCCTTTTGAATCGTCAGGGTGTCGCCGTTTCCGGATGCGGTGCCAACAAAAGTGCTAAACGTAAGAATCGGAGACCAAATTGGCGTGCAAATCACTTGAAGGCTATCATCAGTAACAATCACGCCAAAGGATTGATTTGACTAACAGAACATCATGGAGATGCCGAGCAAGATCCTAAATCTTCTCGATACCTCTAGCTCAGTGCCGCGGAGCTTCTGGATAACCGAAAAGGCCACATCGTTAAGGCCAGAGATTTTGAGCCATTTTATGTTTCCCAAGGTCTTCGAGGTTGTCGAAACTCGGTCTTGCGAGGCTTTGATCCATTCTGCTGATGCTTTGCCAGTCGGAATTGCGAAAAAAGCTGTGGCGATGAGGACACCTGATGATCCAATGAGTCTACTACGCCACTTGGAGAATCCAATACGTTCTCATACCAAAGACGAGGGCAACGGGCATGGCACAAGCTGCCCCGAGCTGCCTGTAGATCAGGTAAATGCCGATGCCAATTTCCAAAAGCCCACCCCAAACCTCATGGAGCTGAGTGATGCCCTGGCTGATGGTCTCGGTATCGGTGCCAACCAGAGTCAAAGCCCCCGAGGGACTGACATTTGGTGACGTCAGATCCAATCTGAGGGCTTTCCTGTAAACAAGTGCAGTGGTGCTGCCCCTCGTTATCGAAGACGCGCGTTGATTACGCCAGTCATACTGACCGGTCGAAACCTGGGTCCAATGTTCAGCGTACGCGATTGAGTGGTCTCCAGAACGGCCGAAAGTCCGAAGCAATCGCAACCGAAACAAGTCAAAACGAGGAAACAACTCACGGCAATACCTGTGTAGACGAGAGCATACGCCCCTATCAAACCAAAACCACGGTTGTTGTAGGGCTGTGTCTGCGGCTGGCTGGCCAAGCGGATCGCTTCTTCTATGAGAAACGGCTGGGCGTAGTTGAACGCGATCTGGAAGAGCTTCGGGACGATGGCGGCGGACATGGGGCCCGCAAAGGTACGGAGCCAGGTGTTGAACAAAGCGCCGGGCACGGTCTTGTCGGGGACTTTTTAGCGATCGCCAGATATATTAATTAGTCTGCGGAATAATATATTTTAGCCGTGACGGGCGGGAGGTCTTTTTGTTACCTTTGTCCCACGCCTCCGCGAGTTTCCTGTATATCGGCCCCGAGGCTAGTTCAGGGTCCAGCGGGTAGAGGTCGTCTAGCCGGAGAATATTTCTGTAGCCGTTGACGAAGAGCGACGTCAGCCAGAAGAAGACGGATCGGCTGAAGGTACCGCTGGTAACCTCCATGGAATATCCCTTGTGCTGCGGGACCAGGATGCGCCGCTTCTCTGTCGATTCTAGAAGGATCATGACCACCCTCAACGCCAAGGTGCATGTGAAGACGGCGGGGATGGTTCGATGGGGGCTCAACATCCACATGGTTCGAGCACGGGCGGCGTCCAACAAGACTGACAGTAAGAGATAAGTCGAGAGGACGAACGACGGCCTCACGGACCGTTCGTGTGAAAGCCATGACAGCAAACCTAGCCCGAGCGAGGCAACGAGACTGAGGACGGAGGTGGGAATGGTTGCACGCGTGCGAGCGATCACGTTAGTGGGCGTAGTGGTCCAGAGTATGAGAAGCGCAAGGTTGAGAGCAACCAGGCAAATGAATGAAGCCTTTCAGTACGTCAGCCAAGTGTAGCAAGTACATAGTAGTGGCGCGAGTTCGCCGAGACTGACAGCCTTGAGATAACGCAAGGTACTAGCTATGACCTTGACATCCGACCTAGCCAGGCGTACGGTGCAGGTGGGGAGCAGCAGGAGTAAGAGAGACTGCAGGGGAACCGCAAGTACGGCTTCCTCGAACAGTAGCGTAAAGTCGAAGCCGCCCCGGCATGATTCTCCGGCCCACGGGCCGAGCGAGTCATCCAGCTCGGGAGGACAGGCCGGCTGCGGGAGCCACATGGTGTGGTAGGCACCGGACCTTTGTCTGCGCTGATGGTGTTTCAAGATCCAGGAGAGTGAGGCAATTTAATTAGAAGGAAGATTTCAAACAAAACATGGCACCGAATGCAACGCTTTGTTACCTCGCTTCCCAGTATGAGCGTCAATGTCAGAGGTAAAGGACCTTGTGGGAATATTTCAAAGAGACACTACTGTTGAATCTTGCCTACTCTTATAGCTTGCTGAGAAACGGGAAAGCCTTCAACCGCGACGAGATTGGGCCGGAATGGAAAACAAGCTTGCTGCAGGCGTCGTGTAGCTGCGGGCAAATCCTTCGTAACCTGGAGAGGCCAGCCTTAGGCAGCGTAGCCAAGTCAAGTTGGAGAGACGGTGAGGTGGTGGTACATAGTAGGTAATTGGTGCCAATCGGATTGACGGCGTTAGCAGTGTCAGCGTCGGGGAGCGGCACAGTGGAACCCAGACACAGCCACCCCGTGAACTGCCCAAAGCGGATGCAGTCTCATCTGTGACTGATGAACGGGTTGACAGTCGACGCCAACAACGATGATGGAGGATAGGGCGGCCCGTTACCGACAGATGATGGGAAAAGGTGGGAGTCTGGTCGGTTCGAGGGCAGCAGCCTAGCTAGCACCAACGCATTGGACGAGTCGGCCTCCGTGCCGCTAACCGGCACACCGGCCTGGGAGGGGGAGTGAAGATGCAGAAGCACTGGCAAGGAGATTGGACGTTGGGGACCGCAGGGCGTGTCAACTCTGACCTTGGAACCGTCTGGGTCAGAGAGTGCATGTCGATGAGATGACTCTGGGAAGAGGCGTTGAGATGACTGAACCTAGAGAGTCACGTCACGTACCGGTAAGGCAGATGCGAGCACGAACTGGGCTGAGGTGTCTGCCAGTTTAGGTGCTGTAGGCGAGGCGACCTGCTGCAATTTGCTCACACGGCCGGCGGGGTGGGAATTTACATGGTAACGGCGTCGTCCGAAGTCGGTCGATTGTGCCCATCTTTTGCTAAATGTAGACTTGCACGATTCAAAGCAAAACAAGCTCGTGCAGAAGATGGAGTCATTTGGAATGGCGTCCACTCTTGGTGTTCTGCTCCTGCCCCCCCACACGTGTAATCCACGAACAGATGGAAGGGAAGACCCAACCAAATCTGAAATGCGGACTCGTCATCATGCACATGATTTGATGCGAAGAAGAAAGAGGGGACACATGATGTTGACTCACTGACTTGCCAAGACGGGAGCCTCTGGGTCCTCTCCTTCTGTTCGGGTCAGTCTGGAGCACCTGTCACGCCTCACAGGCTGGTCAGAGAGTTGGACAGAAGGAAAGAAAGATGGATCAACGGGGTTAAAGGGGCACCCCTTCACTCAGAGGGGATGCGAGCGGCCTGTCTCCTCTCCTCTTCCTTCTCGTGGGGAAAGAAAGCAATGCAGCAGGGCCCGGTCGTGCCAGTCGACAATACCTAGGTACCTGTACCCACGATGGGGCGTCTTTCTTTCTCTCCTGTGTCACTGTCTGATTTTCTGGCTCGCCGATCATCTCTGTGCCGCCGGCTCCATGATTTCCCAAACAGGATCGCAGCACATCCGTTCGTCCCCTGATTCTCCTCGCGAAAATGCTTGGCTTCTACTGTAATTCTGAACCCTGGGGACTCGCCCCAGTGATCCCCGGATGTAGTGGTGGCCTGGGATTCTCAGATCCTGTGGTCTGAGAATTCTGAGGTCTGAGGTTTGAGGTCTGTGGACTGGCGAGAGCCACGAGAGAACCAAGCGATTTCTGAGACTCGGGGAGCCAAGGCCAGAAGCATCGCCAACCCCTCAAGCAGGTTTCTTGATGTTTCTTGGTGTTATAGGTTCTTTGATCTGCTATTAACTCTTTTCTTTCAGCCGCTTAATTACTGCTGCTCGACAGTAGGTATTGCCTTCGTTGCGCGACGATCATCGCCCGATTTTGTTAATCTCCTCGAGACACAGGGCCTTGGCAATTCGATGCACCAGTTGAAACACCATCCATTTCTCTCCAACTCGACCTCGAGCGGTACCGCGCTGCCAGGCTCTGCCGACCCCCAATGTCGCCTGTGGCTCTGGCCCTGGCCCTCGGCATTTACCGTGAGAGGGATGTGAGCGGACGGGATGGACAGGCACGGAATGGCGCAGCAACCGCAACCCGCGGGTCAACGTCCAAACAAACAAGCATCTTGCTGGTCAGTAGGGAAAGTCGCCGAATCCCTCCCCTTCCTTGAAAATCGCCTAAACGAGCGACGTTGCGGCGACGGCAAGGGGGAAAGCAAGGGCTGGAACGATTTCGACCAGGGCGTGAAGCCAAGCTTCGACCTCTTCAACGCAGCATTGCGGCTGACAGTTCAAAGGCTCTTGGAGAGCCTCTTGCCTGTTCCAACCTGTTGCGGCCATCATAACCGGTTGGTGACCCAGCAAAGATGTAGCAAAGATGCAGCAAAGATGCAGCAAATTCTGCAAATCCATCCATCCATCCAGAGCACTCGCTGTTTCTGCAACACCCAGGAGCCCGGTTCCGACTCACAAGAGACGCCCCTGCTTGTCAAGAAACCGCTCAGGGTGCGTCGTTGTAATGAATTTAGACTCTGTCGCTTCGGTTATGCTCATGCTTCAGAGGCCATCCTGGTGTAGGGCAGGCGGACAGACGGACAAAGTTGTTCGGTCGGCACCAGTGTCTTGGGACAAGCGCCGTCACATCAGCGAAGAGTCAAGTCAACGAGGGGGGAGGATCACAAAAAAGCGTTTGCGACTCTAGCCAAGCGCTTTCGCTGGCGGCGTTTCATCCCAGGTTTGACAACCTGCCCTCCGATCAAACTGCACAACCCTCCCATGTGTTCCACCGTGCGCAGGGAGCAGAAGTTGGGGACGACCTTGGGTTTTCCCAAAGCCGCGGAGCCGTGGATTTGTTGTGTAATGGCCGCAAAGGGGTCTAGCCGCCTCTCCAACAAGCCACCAACGTTGAAGCTGGTACCCCGTTCCCACCTCCGCAAGCCCAGAACTTCGGAGAACAGACACTGGAATTCGGCGCGGCGGGGCCTTTCTGAATCACCATCCGTCTGATCAGCAACCGCCCTCATGGGCCTCTACGGCACCAATCCGCGGTATCGAAGCCCATGATCCGCCCATCATCAATCGGCTACACACGCCCTTTTTCCCTAACCGTTTGTCCTCTTTCCCATTATTTTTGGACCTTGTCTCCACATCCCCCGGCTCGCGGCTGCTCCGGGGTGTGGCGCGACATTCTTCTCTCAAACTGGGAGAGGCCCTCACTCTCCTGGCTCCACCGAACTTGCACTGCCCTCGCGATGGATCATAGCCTGTGACATGGCTGACATGGTGGCCATGGGCGACAGAGATAGTGTTCACCTCATTTGTTTGACAAGATGTCTCAATTCCTTGGCACTGTGACCTCACAGTAGCATTCTGTGCATGCTTAACCTGCGGCATGAATTCCCGAAGGATCTGGATCGGGGTAAGATTATCTCTGGCCTAATAGTCTATATCAACCCGGCCCAGCCTGGCCCTTCTTTCGTTCTCTTCTCTCGACACTCCCAAGCCTTTAGCAAAACTTCAAACTCGGTTCAGTTCCTTCACTTTGGCTGGTCCAGTCTTTCCTTGAGTGCCTTGTTTTCTCAGTTTCTTTCGATTCTCTCAGGTTCTGCGAACCTCTTTCTACTTACGGAAACTTACCATCAACGTTCCATTTCCCAACTTCCAAGATGAAGAGCTCCGTTCTCCTTTCCATTGTGGCCATCGCTGCCCAGGTCATCGCCCTCCCCACCCACGATGAGCGATCCGTGGCGCTGCCCATCAGGGACGTGAACCTCGCGCCCCAGGTCGACGTCAGGCCCAAGCTCCGCCGTGCCAAGGACGAGGAAGCGCAATGTAAGTGCCAAACCTGCCTCAACCCCAGCTTACATCTTGACTAACCTCCCTCGTCAGCCGACGCTGCCGCGGATGGCACCGCCGACAAGGATGCCGCCAAGAAGAAGAAGGATGCCAAGGCTGCGGACGCCGCCGCCGTTGCTGCTGACGCCGCGGGAACCGGAGCGGCCAACAACGGAACTGCCAACGCCGGCGATGCCAAGAAGAATAAGAAGGACAAGAAGAAGGATGGCAAGGCTGCTAAGGATGGCAAGGCTGCTAAGGCTGCTAAGGCTGCTAAGGCTGGGGACGCAGCGGCTGCCGGTGGTGCGAAGAACGGAACCGCCAACGCCGGTGATGCCAAGAAGAACAAGAAGGACAAGAACAAGGCAGCCAAGGCAAAAGGCAAGGACGCCGCGAAGAAGAACAAGGACAAGAACAACGGTGCAGGTGGCGCCGCCAATAACGGTACTGCCAACGCTGCCGATGATGCGGCGGCCGCCAAGGCAAAGAAGGACGCCAAGAAGACTGCCGAGGCCAAGAACAAAGCCGCTGTCGACGCAGCGGCTGCCGGTGGTGCGAAGAACGGAACCGCCAACGCCGGTGGTAAGAAGAAGAAGGGCGGAAAGAAGAACAAAAACAACAACGCCGCCGACGCTGCCGGCGGTGCTGCCACCGGAGGCAACGCTGCGGCGGCGGACGGAAACAACATCCTCTCTTCCATTCTCGGTAGTGTAAGTTCTCGTCATCTCAGTCACATGTAGTTGGACAGCGATGCTAATCTACGTCTAGCTCACCGGTGGCGCGGCTGGTGGCGCTGGCAAGGCGGCCGACGGTCAGCAGCAGCAGAACGACCCTCTCGCCCCGCTCACCGGCCTTCTTGGACGCGACGAAGAGTCAGCCGATGCAGCTGATGCAGCTGATGCGGATGATGCGGATGATGCGGAGTAAACAGAAGTGGACGACTCCGTCTGGTTCCCGATGCCGGAGCCGAAGGATTAAAGGCCGAGTCGGGTCCTGGGACAGGGTTTCCTCCCAAAGGACCCGGCCAATCCAACGGCCAAAGCCAAGGCAGCTACGCAGGCAGAGCTGTTCGCCGAGTGTGTTGATATGTCTCGATGATTGAATGGGAAAAAGAACAAAATCATACTAAGGTTTTTTTTTGTTTTTGCGGTGTGCACGGAAACTTGGCTGGCTGGATCTCACTCGAGATGTCAGTGAAGCAGCTTTCTTCCCCGTCGCACTACTGAGGAGTATCTTTTTTTTTTTGGGTGTATTCTTAGGAAGGGCTTGGGGCGAAGGAATCTTTTCACTCTGTGGACGTGAGTTTCCATGGGATATGTTTTGTAAACGTCCTTGGGAAGACGTGTGTTCCTTTTGATAGGAAAATTGAGTGAAAAGGTGCGCACCGCAGTCTTGGGCGAAGCTGAGATGTCGCCCTCAGGAGCTTACGTAGAATTGTGATACCACGAGAGCGAGAATTGAACTGGTTGCTTCAAACCACATTTTGGTGTAAGTGTGTGTGTGTGTGTGTGTGTGTGTGTGTGAGTGTGAGGAGAGAGAGAGAGAACAGAGTGGGCTGGGGACCCTTACGGGTGAGCTGAAGATCCTCACGAGGGAGATGTGAATTGGAGTTTTTGGTGAGTGAAGACGAACGGCAACTGGTAACGGGTGAGGGATGTCGAATCAAGTTTAACGGGTTCGGAGGCCGGCGAAGCAACAGGGGCACATCCAAGGACGACCGGGGGTCAGAGCTTCGGGGCCCGGCAAGGGCCCACCAACACGTGAGGGGAATGATTGGCAGGCGATAAGGCGCAGATTAGTCGTGGCCCGGGCCCCCTTTAACGAATCCCTGCCCGATCCTTTAGAGTAGTGTAATTGAGTTTCTCCCGTCTCCGCACCTCCACCGCCGGAGCAACGACCTCGACCAACAAAACAGCAAGTGATTCACGCGCGTCCCGGTTAGGCCTATCGAGTGTGGCCCCGACGCGTCTTGGCTCTCGAAGGGGGCTCACTTGTCCGAGGAAGGGAGTTGGCCCGGCTTGTGTTTGCGTTGGACGAGTCATCTTCCCTCTCCTTACTGGCTGGAGCGGGTTGTCCATTGTAATTATAGCATGTTGGATGGGTTCAGTCAAAGGGCAGAATTGCTTCTCGACGTTGACTCTCATTTCCTTTGCTCTCTCGTCTCCCCCCCACACGCCGTTCAACCATTGTCGTCGTCCCCACCGGGGCTAGACACCAGCTAGGCGACTCTCCCGCGCTCTCGCAGGACACCCCTTCACCTTCCCGATCGGGTGTGGGCTGGCCAATGCATCGCCGCGACGATTTGCGTGTCTGGCAGCTAGCCCAAGCTGCTTGTGTAGCCGTGACGTTGCCGGCGCCGTGGCCAAGGGTGGGCAGAAATCAGAACGTGCCAGGCACGGAACGCTCTAAGAGGTCAATTGATACGACGGAACGTCAACCCCTGCCCATCAATCGATAGAATCTCTGTCCGTCCCGTCCAGTGAGAACGGGTATCTGCGCATCTTGGAAGAAGGCATCGGAGCTGACCGCGCCTCTCCCTGTCTTCTTCCGCCCAATCTCGCCTTCGTACATGGAAGATTGTCCACGCGAAAGGCACACACATGCGAAGAGGCAGCTCCCGCGATGCAAGGGCGGAATGGATCACCGGTCCCCACGATGTGTACAGCTTCTCTTGGCATTCGACTCGGTGCGATACGACCCTACCTAGGAGAATCGGGGGACGCGGACCACAAGCTGAGAGTTCAGCTCCATACTACATATAGTGGTGACGGTCCCGCGGTAGAAAAAAATGTTCGTGGACGATCTTCTTCTTGTTCCAGGACGCCAACCCAGAGAAAGAGCTTCGTTGCCTTTTTTCTCGTGATCCCATACCGTCGGTGCTTGCGCGCGTGTGTGCCTCTTAGTTTCCTTCAAGGCCTGTCCAAAGACATCCTTGCCAAGCCAAGATGAAGGTCGCATCCCTCTTCCTCTCCGTCGCTGGTGCCGCCTCGGCCTTGACCATCGCCGAGATCAACGGCAACAAGTTCCTCTCCCCCTTCAAGGACCAGTCCGTGACCAACGTCACCGGTCTTGTCCTCGCCAAGGGCCCCAACGGAATCTGGATCCGCTCGACCACGCCCGACGACGACGATGCCACCTCCGAGGCCGTCTACGTCTACGGCAGTACCGTTGGCGCAAACCTCACTGTAGGCGACGTCATTACCCTGGATGGAAAGATTCAGGAGTACAGGTAAGATGATTCCCACACAAACAATCGTAGTTCATGTGAGCTTCGGCTAATACAGCGTAGGTCCGCGACAAACTACATTTACCTCACGGAGCTCAGCTCCCCCAAGAACGTTGTTGTCGTGTCCAAGGGCAACGAGGTGGTGCCGCTTGTCATTGGCGTCGATACGCTTCCCCCTCCCACCGAGCAGTACACCAGCCTCGACGGCGGCGACATCTATGCCGTGCCCAACGCCGTCGCCAACATCTCCATCGAGAACCCCGTCCTCGACCCCACGCTCTACGGCCTCGACTTCTGGGAGTCCCTGAGCGGCGAGCTTGTCACCGTCAAGAACCCCGTCGCCGTCACCCGCCCCAACCAGTACGGCGACACATGGGTCATTGGCGACTGGCCCACCACCGGCCGCAACTCGCACGGCGGCATCACCATGACTGACAAGGGTAAGCTTCACCTGCACCTCCTCCAAACCCCGGGAAACGAGTGGCTAACATGCTCAAAGACTCCAACCCTGAGACCATTGTCATTGGCACCCCTTGGACGGCACCAAGAACCCCGAGTCCAAGATGGGCGATGAGCTCACCGAGATCACCGGCGTCGTGACCTACGCCTTTGGCTTCTACCGCATCCTGCCCCTGACCGCCATCACCATCGCCAAGAACGCTACCAACAACGCCCCCGCCACCTCCCTCGTCAGCCGCGGCGACTGCAGGGGCATCACCATCGGCGACTACAACGTCGAGAACCTCTCCCCTCCTCGGCCCACCTCCCCGCCGTCGCCGCCCACATCGTCGACTACATGAAGACGCCGGACCTCATCTTCGTCCAGGAGATCCAGGACAACAGCGGCGCGACCAACAACGGCGTCGTCTCCTCCAACGTCACCCTGTCCACCCTCGCCGCCGAGATCGAAACCCGCTCCGGCGCCGTCTACGACTTCGTCGTCATTGACCCCGTCGACGGCCAGGACGGCGGCCAGCCCGGCGGCAACATCCGCGTCGCGTACCTCTACAAGCCCGACGTCGTCGAGCTGTGGAAGCCCAACCCCGGCGGCAGCCTCGACGCCAACGAGGTCCTCCCCGGCCCGGCGCTCAAGTACAACCCCGGCCGCATCGCGCCCGCCAGCAGCGCGTGGGACGCCAGCCGCAAGCCCCTCGTCGCCGCGTGGCGCGCCATCAAGGGGCCCCAGAACAAAATCTTCTTCACCGTCAACGTCCACTTCGCCTCCAAGGGCGGCTCCTCATCTCTGCACGGCGACCCCCGCCCCCCTGTCAATGGTGTCGTGAACCCGCGCATCGAGCAGGGCGAGCTCACCGGCGTATGTCCCCCCCCCCCCCCCCCCCCCCCCCCCCCCCCCCTCCTACCCTCTTCTTCCGTTCTACGAGCCCCGGCTAACCCTGCAAACCAGTCCTTCATCGCCGAGATCCTCGCCGCGGACCCCAACGCCCGCATCATCGCCGCCGGCGACTTCAACGAGTTCGCGTTTGTCGCGCCCATCAAGAACTTCGCCGCAAAGTCCGGGCTCGTCGACCTCGACGAGGCCGTCGGCATCCCCGTCGAGGAGCGCTACACGTACGTCTACGACATGAACGCCCAGGAGCTCGACCACATGTTTGTCAGCCCCGCGCTCGCCGCCAAGAACGGCACCGCCTACGAGCACATCCACGTCAACTCGTGGGAGCTGTACGACGAGCTCGTCAGCGACCACGACCCGTCCGTTGCGCGCTTCAACCTGTGCGGGTGCTAGGTGCTGGATTCCATTCCGAGAAAAAAAAAAGGGAGACGAGACCATTGTAAATACCGGGCTTATTTCAAGTGCCCCTAAATTCTTGTACATCTGAAAAGACGTTGACGAGATACGAGATTAATGTTTATTTTTTTTTGCATAATCTATCAATGACTTTCCGAGACTGCAATAAGCCGACGAAAACATTTGTGATATGACATATAGTGAAGGGCTGTGAGCTGGCTCTGCACTATCCTCTGGCACCTGGTGCTGTCACCCCTCAGCGTTCCTCTTCGACAGAATTTCTAGAGTTGCTTCGAGCCAATAGCTCTAGTAGAACGCAATTAGAAATATCTATTTGCGCATCAACGTGGCCCAACCCCCGGGCTCTTTCCGTCTTTTGACTTCGTCCGGACGCCAGTCGCCCGTTCCGAGTAGATCCACACCGGCCGTCAGGTGGGTCGACTTTCTGCGAAGCTCCGGATCCGGCATCCCAAGCGGTATGCTGCAAGGCTGCGCGCCCTTCAAACGACGCAGATCTTTTCCCACCCATCTTGATTGACTGAAAACTTCTTCAGGCTTTCCTCGAGGCTGGTATAGGCCGTAAAGGTCTCCTGCAGCGGGAAAAGCCGTTCCCGCGTCTCCCTCACTAAGTCGAGCAGCGGCGCCCAATTTGCTCTCGTGGCGGGCGAAACAGGCCTCCAGAAAGAGCCCAGCGATGGCGAAGGCGAAAAGAACTCGTCCACTTTGTCTCCGTGGAGGTCGTCCCGGGTCAAGAGATCCCACGTGCGGGCAAGGTTCCCTCCCCAGCCTGGGTGTCGAGGCCTCTGACTGGATGACATGTTACGAGGCTCTCCTTGCAGCTCCATACTATCCTGAAGCCATCGCATGATCCCTCTAGATCTGATCTCATCCCTGCGGCTGTGGTAGCCCTTTGCGGTTTCGTGGTAGTACGATTCGAGAATTGACAGAGCATGTAGCTTGTCGTCGAGTCTCTGTCCCAAGAGCAATTTCAGGAGACCATCCAACGTCATGTTGCTTCTAAATCTCAAGCTCAATCCAAAAATGTTGCCAAGGTCTGTCAAAACTTTCTCTGTCGAAAGCCTCTCCATATATTCACCTTCCATAGGTCCGGTTTGCCACTCGAGGTTGCGGCGATGGTCATCTGGTTTAGGCGGCGATTCTGGTCGTTCCAGGTTCGCAGCGAAGTCTCCATTCTCTCCCCAATCCCAGCAAGCCTGGACCATGGTTTGGGACAATAAATTAGCGTCTCCTTTACTCAGTGGAGTCTCTCTCAGAGGTAGGTTCACCCGCATTTCCAGGTCGGGTAAACGTGTGAACAGTGATAGCAGAGGCTGAGGTTCTTGTCCAGTCCGCATAGCCTGTAAACGCCGGTTGACGATTTGCCGGAGAAGTGCTAGTGGGGAGCCACTTGAAGCGCCTTCTTGACTCGGATCAAGGAGATCTTCACACGCAACTTCATTGTAGCCTTGCCGAGTCATTGATTTTGTCCTTCTGGCAACACTCTTGAAAAATTCTGGCACACTCGTCCAAGAATGATGCATCTGTCCTGTGCCCGGTACCCCATCAGACGGTCCCTTACAAAGTAGTTGTGATAGCTCGTACGGAATGCTCGCTATCGTCCGAAGCGCCTCGAGAAATAAGGGACCAAGACTCAAAGGCTTACTTTGGCCTGCCCGATCATATAGTTTCCGAAGGGAATGAATGGCATTTTGTCCACCTTCTTCCCTCTTCCAGCATTGCTCTATGGCAGAACAAATGTCTTCCATTGCCTGCCACGTTCTCGGACTATACCAGGCATCATCGCCCAAGATGTAATTCCACGCGGAGATGAGCAGAATGTTCTGGCGGTCAAGAGTGTTGATCAACACGACATTATCGATGCTGGGTATCTCGCAGATGGCCACAAAACTGTACTTATCTGCATGAAGTGGAACTGGTCTGAGCACCAGCAAGTGATTTGAAAGTCCTGCCACCGCAAATACCTTATCTGATTTTCGTGCCCATGTGACGGACGTGAGACGTTGCTCTTCCGATGTTGGAGAATAAAGAATGCCGTTTATTATGCCGGGAAGATTCGGTTGATCAACGTTTCTGGTAAAAATGCAGTCCTCCAGTCGCAAGGGTGAAACACCTCTCAGCCAAAGCCCTCCCATTCTATCGAAGCAGAAAGCGCTGGAATCTTCTAGAGAAGTTACAACTCGTAAGTAACGTGTGGTTATCGAGGTGCTTGGTGCATTTTGCTCCTGCAGGTCGGATTCTTGTGACCAGTCAATGACCCAGGAAGGAAGGCTTGACGAGGACCTTGGCTGTAATGTCCCAAACAGGCGACATCTTTCTTTAGGGTGTCGAAGAAGGAAGAATGCCATTACGCCAGTGAGCACCTGCTCCTTGCTTAAGGAATAGTCGGCGATTAGACCAGCATTGTGTGCGCCAGGGAAAAGACCCAGGAGAGCAAAAATCTTGTCCCTTGGATCGGATGCTTCAGAGCGAACTGTGGCGTACATGAGATCGAGTAGCTCCTCTAGATCCCTGTGCCTCCGTTTGAGAACTTGGTGTGCCCAAGGATGCAACTGATATAGCCTCTTATGGCTTCTTTCGGCAGCATCTGGTCTATGCAGACTTCTAACCGTGGCGTCATCTTGTGGGTGAAGGAAATCCTGCCATCTGCTCCCTCTTGATCCAAACAGGATGTGTTTTTCTTGGGCTGATGCAACTTCTTGGATGACCCAGACCCTCGCGAAGTAAGGCTGGCCGCTGATGTCTGTTGTAGGATGTAACGTGTTTCCATTGTTTTCGTACTTCCAAGGGGAGTGTGGCGCTGGGTTGAGATCTGCGGGATCTTCGCCCAAGTACACCAGAACCCTGGCTGCAGTTGCGTATATGTTCTGCATTATGCCGACTTGGTGGGATCTCTCGCGTGTGTCGTCTTGGTTGATGCAGATGGCGTCGACCCAGAGATCCCTGCTCCAGCTAGGAGATCGAAGACGACGAAGGGCGTTCGCACAGTTTCCAGTGATAGCAAGACTGTCACAACGATCCCCTATGTAAATGCATTGGAACTTTCGTGTGTCTCCGTTCAGGTCGGACCAGGTATATGACAGCGCTTCGTAATCTGGCTTGGAGGCCAAGTTCACAACCTTGAGGTCGCCTCGGAGAGGATCATGAAATTTACCAGGAAGTAACCGAAGTAGGCGTATTCTTTTGGCGTATAGAGTGTCATATGATTTCCGGTCATTCAATGAGGATGGCGTATCTTTCTGGGCGTTGACAGCCGAGAAGTTGAGGAGCAAGGTTTCGTCTTCACTCTCCTTTTTTGAGCTTTTAGTTTTCGAACCGGGGGACACATCTTCCGTGCTCTTTGGCAGAACTTTTTGTGCCTCATTGTCTTCAAGAAAAGGCAACGAGGATGGCCAACAAAGCTTATGCTCCGCGGTTGAGGTTGGTAGGGATGGTGGTCCATTAGACTGGGTTGAAATGTCGGGCACTGCAGCTGTGTTCCCACAGCTCAGACACGACGGGAGGTTCAGATCATCCAAGAACATGACATGGGGCCGACGACATTCTGGAGCATGCCAGTTGAACATCGTTGCCGTAGCGGAAAAGAGGTTTCCTGGTAGAACTTTCGGCGAAGCTGCTTGCGGGCTTCTTCAGCGAACTTAACGAGACGGCGAGGGCCAGTGTTGAAAAACGTGATTCGGCAAGATGCTGGTAAAGGTGTTTCTTTTTTTCGAAGAGCGCGAAGTTGTGTTTTTTTCAGAGCACGGAAAGTGAAGATGATTTACGAACGAGGGAAATCTAACTAGACAGGCAGCTCAGCCTCACCGACGCTGTCTTCACTTTGCGAGACAATAGCGTCGCTTTAGCCTGTCATCCAGCTAACTAGCAACGAAGCCACCTGCAACGCCTATTGGTGCATGTTCCTTACTGAGTTCCTGGTCTATGGCGCAGCTACAACTGAGTAGGCTGTGCTCAAACACCAGCCAAGATTCTTCGTCCGTTTAAAATTGAAAGGTAGACTTGAGGACGTCTCTATTGCAAAATAGAAAAAGGCGCCTGGGCCACTCGCTTACACATTACGGCAAAAATATGAAGAAAATCATCGTCGGAGATACACTATATGCGACGCAAACACAGTTGATATTTGTCAATACAGGGCCAGTCGAGCCTGCCCATTGCGGCTGTTAGAATTCGCGGCGCGTCGGGAGATGGGAACCGCAACAGACACGCAGAAGCCTCTCTCTCTCTTTCAGGTTCTCGATGCAACTTAGCAGCGGGAAGGATATCAGCCCAAAAAGAATAGCATTCAGTCCATAAGACTATTATTTCTAGCCCATAGATCCTCGTCTAGTTTCGCTCGACCAAATGCAAAGCTCAATCAGAACTCTATGCCTGTCTGGCCTTCAAGCATCTGAGCTCCGCTTCAACATTGAATCCATTTACGTTTCACACCCTATACTTTTCCAATACTTTTGACGATGATGGTTGGTTTCCCTGAGAGATGTCTCAATGCAGCAGTGGCCATTGTTGAGAACCGTGTTGTCCTTGATCATCTAATAGCCTTACTTCTCAGATAATGCGTATTTCTGCGAGCGGTATTGACTTCGAGCGTTGTCTTCTTCGGGATTCAATTATGAGTGGCGCTTCCAAGGGAAGCAAGCCTTGTTCTGTCTCGCGAATCGAGGATTGGTGCCCACAATGAAGTTACTTTTCGAAGCCTTCTTGTCAGTTCGCCGTCATCCGCAGTGGTTGAGAACCCCTTTGGAAGCGAGAGACGTAAGGAACTTTCACTAATTACATTATCGAAATCTTGTCGAGATAGATGAGGCCCTTGTCGAAGGTCTCGAAAAATGTTGCGGATATTACTGTGATCATCCAGGCCCCAACCTTTATCCAAATCTTTGTCCTCATCCGTAGTGGCTGCGTATCTTCGAGTCAAGATCTGTATAGCGCGCGTCTTGTCAGAGACTTGCTGCCCTAAAAGTAGCACGGCAATGTGTTCGGAACCAAGCAGAGGAGTTCTGTGCAATACTTGTTGCAATATGCATCTGACATCGACTCTGAAGGCCCTTCTAATGAGGTTACCGTCATATCGTGTCGATAGAGTTGGGAAGACACGGTTCCATCCGCAATCTACATATAAGCTACTGCCGAAGTGCCATCGCTGAAACCGATGGATATCCTTCCCTATCTCAGGTTGCGTTCCCAGTTCCAGCAGGCTTGCAGAAGAACCGGGACAACAATCTTCGGTATTGTCGTTGAGCCATTTTAGTATCCCGCTACTAGATCCCAGCTTAGCGTTTCTGCCGGCTGGTATAGTCTATATCTTACAATTCGAAGCTCTCTTAATGCTCGGATAGAGGCGAGAATTTGGTCAACCATATCTTTTGTCTGTCGGATGTTATCCTTGTGAGTCACTCTTAGGGTTCCAGTAACATGCCCGGACAAGTTCCCATGGCTTCTCCTCGCTAGAGTCCTTTTGGTCCTAAGTATAAAAGCTCTGGTCCACTGGCTCATAGTCACTTTCCATGCCTTTTTGATGGTTTCACAGACCCTCTTCAGTTCAGCCCAGAATTCTGGCATTAACCATACGGGCACCATGCTGGTGTGCAAAAGTGGTTGGTTCGAAACCGCAAACAAGGCTATGACTCGATCATCAATCAGATCAAGGTACTTAGCTCAAGGGTCAACCTGCTTCTGATGGAATATGCCTACTAACGGATGGAGGTTCGGAAGTGCCACAGGCCGAAGTAGCATGAGGTGTTCAGGAAATGCCGGAGAGTAGAAAACCTAGTCAGTCTTTAGAAAAGGGTGTATCGACGGAAAAGAAGGTTCCAGTCTCTCATTTTCCATTGCTGTATAGAACCTGACATCTTGAATGAGCCCTGGGGCGTCAGGTACTACAAGTCCACTGGAGGTGTGGTAGTCGAGAGCGAATACTGGATCCCCGCTCAGGACAAGTATACCAGCTCGATTGAATCGAATTTTAGTACGCTTTTCATCACGGTTGTCTTCTTGATATCAGATCTCATTGGTATTGGGTGACCTAGTTGGTAATGCGAAGTTATGTATGACGCTATTTTGAGTTAAGGACCAGTCAATGGCCCAAGATGGAAGGTTGGGTATGAAGATTGGTTTTACCCTAGAAAATATTTACCAACCAAATGGTGGGACCTCGGCGAGAAAGAAAGCCGTAATACCCGCAAAGATCTGATCTTGGTCAAGAGAATAGTCTGCAACTAAACCAACCTAACGAAACAATCGAACATAAGTATTTATTATACCAATAATTCCATCAAGCTGCACTAAGACTTGTGATGTCGCCCAATATTTCGGCGTGTTAACAAACAGCAAGCCTCTGTGGACTCGGAGAGATAATACTGGATCGAAGCCCATTAAAAATCTTGTTGTACGTCGCTTCCAGATTTATTAGGCACTGTGGTTTCGTTTTACTAGTGGAACTATTCGAAATAGGGGTAAGTCCAAAATTAAGATTGGGGCATCTTCAGCAAGGAAGAACCTCGATGTCAGCTGCTTACAATTATGTTTCAGTATGAGCTGGTAAAACAGACCACGTTGTTCGTGGTACTCAATGTAGGATATTCTGATACATTAGAGAGCAAGATTCCAAGATACCGGTTCCAAGCCGTATATCCATGTTGCTGCCTACCAGTCAAACTACGCAAATTTTCTCCCATCTCTTGTGACCATGAAAGATCATATCTGGTATGCTTTCAAGAGCATAATACTCTTTAGTGAAATTTCGCGTGATTGGGAGTAGTATTCTCTTCGTCCCTTCTGCAAGATCGAGCAGCGGCCCCCATTTTTCTCGTTTTCCTATGAAGTCGAATGCATCATCCCACCCCCTGGAATCCAGCCTCCACAGAGATTCCATTTTAAAGAACTTGGATCTCTCGTTATGATTTTGAGTCTCGATGGTTAAGAGCTCCCATGTACGGATGAGGTCGCTTGCCCAGCTTGGCTTTTGTGATCCCATATAGTCTTCGGAGCTGCAAGGGTGTAGCTCCACGCTATTCTGAAGCCAGTGCATGATCTGAGAAGACTCGGCGCCTCGGTCAGGATCTAGTTCTGTCTTTCTATGGCTTGAAGCGATGATTCTGAGTGCCTTTAGTTTGTCATCCAGTCTTTGCTTGACGAGCGAATCGATAAACGCTGGCGAAGATGGACTGGCCGTGGTCTCGAGTCTTAAGGTCATACCGGAACACCAACCAAGCTTCTGTAGAACTTGAGCAATATGTTCTCCGTGTAGATATTCAGGGTGCCACGGTAATTTGCGGCGATGTTCATCGGTTGGGGATAGTGACACTGGCTCCTCCAACGGCATAGCGAAACTTTCTGTCTCGCCCCAATCCCAACAAGCCTGCACCATTGTCTCGGAAATCAAATCTTTCACTGTGTCACTTTGGTATGGTTCTATATCGGTACCTTCAGGGGGATATCTGGCAAAAAAGCGTAGTCACAGTCCACTAGCCGCCAGGGTACCCTAATCCTAGCATCTCTCACTTGGCCTTGAACTTGTTGACTGAGAAGCTGAAGTGGGCTAGCCGTTAGCCCCTTTGTATGATTGTCAATCGAGAGTATTTCGGCAGCACGCGTCTCGATAATCATGAGACGTCCCCACAACTCTCTGAGTTTTTTGCGTTTGTTTAGTTTTTCAGGATCCTCGAGATCCTCGAGATCTTGGAGATCCTCGAGATCCTCGAGCCATTTGAGATCCTCGAGATCTTCGAGGTTCTCAACCTCCCCAGGTTCCCAGAGTTCCTCTGGTTCAACCACTGACGCGTGACTTAGAATCTGTTCCAACTCGGGCGATATAATCGTCATATGTCTTTTTGATTTCAGAAATTTTGGCCAAATATTTCGAGAATAGCCAAATTTCTTCCGAAATTGCATCAAGTCGCTCATAAAAATTCGGATACCGCACTCCAGCCTCCAGAATTCCATTATGCTGTCACAGATATTTTCGACTCTCACCCACGTCAGTCGAGAATACAAAGAGTCGCCATTCAAAATATAGTTCCAAGCCGAGATCAGGAGAAGTTGTTGTCTATTGAGAGTGAAGTTCATTCCAGAGATAAAGCGACACTTGGGCTGTTCACAGATGGCGACGAAGTTGTATTTGTTTGTCGCTTCTGCTGTTGGTCGGAGAATCATCAGGTGATACGGAAGCCCTGCTACAGCAACAATCTTATCTCCATCTCGAGCCCAAGTCATGCGTGTAAGATTTAGCTCTTTCGGCTTAGGAGGTGGATTGTTAAAGTAAGCTATGCCCCTTATTACACCGGGCGGTTCGAAGGGAGTGGCAGAAGTGCTTAAAAAGCAGTCTTTGAGATCCCAGAGTGAGACGACTAGCAACAATAGCTCCCCGCCCTTATTGAACCGGAAAGTGCTGGATTCCCTAGGTCTTAGGTCGTACCAAGTGGTTTCCGGAGGGGTTGATGCCTTCGGCCAGTCAGTGTGCTCTGACCAGTCAATTGCCCAGGAAGGCAGGTTTGACAATGCCCTCGGTCGTCTCGTCGCCAGAACTCGCCATCTTTCTGGGTGATGTCGGTGAAGAAGAAACGCTGTTACACCGCTGAATACTTGCTCCCGGCTTAGGGAGTAGTCTGCAACCAGACCTAAAGTTTGAGCGTCGGTGAAAAGGCCCAGGAGGGCAAAAATCTTATCCCGGGGATCTGATGCCTCAGACTGAGTTGTTGCATACAGAAGTTGAATAAGCTCATCTAGGTCTCTGTGTTGTCGTATGTTGACCTGGCATAACCAGGGATACAACTGATGTAGCCTCTTGGTATTGTGAGCATATTCCCAATCACTGTTAGGCAGGCTATTGTCGACTTTTTTATCCACGCTACGAACTCTCTGAATGAAGTAGTCTTGCCATTTGATTCCTCTTGACCCGAATAGGATGTGCTTTTCGTGGGCTGTTGCAACTTCTTGGATAACCCATATCCTAGAGAAGTAAGACTGATTGCTGACGTCTGTTCGAGGCTGTAGTGTATTTCCGTTGTTCTCGTATTTCCAAGGAGTTAGTGGTAATGGATTAGGATCTTTAGGATCCTCGCCCAAATACACAAGGGTCCTAGTTGCAGTTGCATATATATACTGCATTATTCCGACTTGGTGTGACCTCTCGTGCGTGTTGTTTTGATCAATGCAGATAGCGTCGACCCATATGTCCCTAGTCCATCTAGGTGACCGAAGGCGACGAAGGGCATTGGAACAATTGACAGTGATGTTCAAAATGTCCCAACGCTTCCCCAAGAAGATCAGTTGAGACCTTGATGTATCACCCGACTGGTCAGCCCAGGTGTACGACAAGGCCTCATACTCTGGCTTGGTTGCCAAGTCCCTGGTCAGCAGCTCACCCCTGATGGGCTCGCCGTACGCTCCAGGAAGCAATCGAAGTATTCGGATCTTTCGTGCGACAAGAGGCTTGTATAAAGACGCCGTGGTGACCTCTGCACAATTACCAGAGTTTGTCGGAGCAGAATTGGATGAGAGTGATTGGTATTGATTGGCAGTGTGTGTGGAAGAACTGAGTTCTCCCATAGGCAACTCACTCTTGCCATCGATATGAGTAGCATTGTTGTCCTCCACGAATGGCAGCGAAGACGGCCAGCATAGTTCGAATTTTGCCTGTGATGGTGGCTTGGACAACGACCCATCCAGTTTCGCATTTGCACCTTCGTCCACCGAAGCGGTCTCCCCGCACGATTGGCAGTACGGGATGTTGAGGTCATGAAGAAAGACGACATCAGGGTTTCGACAAGTCGACTCGTGCCAGTTGAACATTGTGCAGTTGCGATGGGGACGAGGGCGAGATACTCGGGTTGATGGTGTGTTCAACAAAGGTAATGTAGAGATATTTCATGAAACCCAATAATCCAGAGCAGGGAGATTGACGATGTTCGTCATGTTCATAGATAACAGAGGAATATCAGGAAAAAGGAGAGAAAAGATGGTGAAACCAGATCAGGCTGGCCGATGCCTCTTCACCACGTGTACAAACTAAGCCACTGCGGAGGCCTTCGATGTGCCCAATGGGTGAGTCTGGCAGCTGCGGTGCCCATTGGTTCAGCGACCGATGCGTGAGCATGGCGCAGCTCTTGTTGCACATGCTGTGCTCGCTGAATGCTCCACGGCCAGTCATTGGGCGAACGCCGGCAAGGCAGAATTCGTGGCGGCGTATCTGAGTTCGTCAGGAATTCCTGAGAGGGCCCCCAACTTGAAAAGGAGAAGAGCCGTAACGGGGCGCTTAGACAGATAGGTGAACGAAAAGAAACATAGACACCGATGACAGGGTTTGATGCGAATGCTCATACATGGTAGCGTAGGGCCAGGCCGGACGTGCCCAATCATGATGAAGAGCCTCAGCTGCTTGGAACAATGTCAATTACGATAGACAGTTAGGAACCTTTCCTCTCTATTCAATGCAAGCAAGGCGCCCCAAGGATTTCAAGACCGACGAGAATCCCCTCCCGCCCATAAGGTTTTTTATTATTCTAACATACAACTCTTCGCCTAGTTTCGCTCAAGCAAACCCAAAGCCCTGCGCATTTTCCAATGCCATAGCAAGCCTCTCTCTCAGGACGTCCTTGTCTTTGTACTCCGGCAGCAGAAGCGTGCCGTAACATGTGTATGCAGTGGGCAGATGCCCACCCTCGCCTTCCTCTTCGCCATTTCTCTGTACGACGAACTGCAGGTTCTTCATGCCTCCCACGGGCACACGGTCCGAGGCCGTCACGAACTCCAAGAGGCGTCTCTTCATTTTTTCGTCGTAGCGCTTGACTATCGACCAGAAGTCGCGGACACCGCGGTGACTGGCGTCCCAGCCGACGTATCTCGTGTATCTTCGAAGCTCAGATATGTCGATCTCCTGCACACCCTCAACGAGCGATTGGAGAAGTGGAGGCGTCAAAAGTTGAAGTGCCTTGGGGTGCAGGCAAGCCCGGAAACCGCGCTTGAACGCCTCGTACTGTGGGCGAACGGAAACGTCTGTGAGGTACTTGATGTAATCACTCACATACGCGTTCCTGTTCTCGTTGGTTACGAGCGGAGCGTCCTCGGGATTCTCGTCTACTAGTGACTTGCCTGCCGCGGGTTCGAATTGTGGCCAGCTGCGAGCCTGGTCGTTCATTTCACGAGAAACCGGCTGGCCAAACATCGAAATCGAAAACTCGTATGTGCGTGCAAAAACGTCTTCCACCAATCCCTGCCTCTCGTCCCACTCGAGAAGCGTCGTCAGGCCCATAGCGAGGTCTGGCCACCCGTCGGCGATGTGATGCAACTCGTCTACAGGCTCACCCAGGAGTTTGCGGTAGAGTGCCTTCGGGAAAGTGATGGGCAACGTTAGGCCGTTGTAGACGGCCAGCGACACCAGAAGACCAAGGATCTCGAACTTCCATGCTGGCACGACGGATCCAGGAACGAACCAAGCCATACGAGTTCGGTCATCCACCGTAAAAGCGCCATAGTCTGGGTTGAGACACTCAGCGACGGCAAGTCGGAAAAATTCCTGTTGGACTCCGCCCGAATCGAAACCTTCTTCTCCGGCATCTTCACCAAGGTGGATTTTCAATGGTCGGTGTAGTTCCCGGTCCTCCCGCTGCCAAAGCTGATCGAAGGCGTCCCTTACGACATTTTTACGGCTGATCTCGAGAATCAGATACTTGGAAGACGCCGTTTTCAAAAGATCCTGCAAAACAAGCTTGTGATGGGGATTGGTGATGAGGCCTCCGGGGGCAACAATCGCCTTCATCCGTGTTTGGAGCGAGCTGGATTCCTCGTAGCTTCGGCTCATCTTCGAAAAGTTGATAGATCGGAAATAAGAAACTAGTGTAGATGGGTCAAAGATGAAGGGGAAGTCGAGCAGATGCTTCTTCTGCTTAGATGACATGTGGCTAAGCCAGGCGACAGGCATGTTGATCGAGTCTAGCCTCTCTGCGAAATAGTCCACGCGGAATTGGACGTCTCCCAGAAGCAGGTCCTGCCGTTTCTCGTCTGTAGCATATTAGTTAGAATGGCCCAAGAGATAAAGATTTATACACTTGCACATTGCAGCAATCAATGACAGAGCTCCGCCGAAGGAGCCATCGCATGAGATTTCAGGCTGTCCGTCCCACTCCTGAAGCATGACTGTCTTGGCCCAGTCTAAAAGTAGAGTTGAGACCCTTGATTCATGACCAGCCCTTTCAAGCTGTCCCAGCTCGGGGTTGGAAGACGAGTACGAGTTGAGCAAGTCTAGCTGAGAAAGGAGAGGTCGAAGGGCATCCAACTCTTCGTCACCATTCTCGGCACCATCGTCTTGCGCGGCCATGTCCGCAAAACACTTCCGCGCAGAAATGGCAGCAAATAGGCGCCTCGCTAGCCTGAGTGCCATATCGTTCGAGAATGCGTCATCATAAAGAAGGCACAACCAAGCCGGTTGCCGCGCCAGAGCACCGCTACCCGCCAGAGTGAGACCATTTGAGCGGATGCGTGACATATCGAACAGTATTCTAGAGTCTGTTATCAACGGTGCCGCCGCTACCAATGCGTGAAGACATATTGATAGCAAGTGGCCGGCCTCAAGACCGGCGAGAGACCGGTCAGTCCGGCGGAAGACTTTGGTGGTAGGGGAGCGCAACGACTGGAGTGACTTGGGTGCGCCAAAAAGACTACCAGCAGCCATCCACAAGCTGTGAAACACCAGACTGGGCGCCACTCGTGTAAGCCTCAGCATACAGTACCAGATTGTGTGAGAATCAAGCAGTTCATCATCCTTGACGAAGGATGAGACCAGAGTGGCGGGGTCGCTTAAAATGTTGAACAGGCTTTGCTCGATAAACAGCTTCCATTGTCTTCGGAGCCGCTTAGGGTAGGTGCTTCTAGGGCTGTGTTTCCTCTGCATCTTGGGAGCCCGGTCCTTGAGTCCGGAGTACGTGCTGGTAATTTTGGGGGGGTCAAGGAGATGGGATTCTGAGGTGCCGTCATCTTGTAGTATGTCACATACAAGATCAACGACTTCGACGTTGAGGTGTGTCAATGATTGCGGAAGCATGTTATCGGCAATTGAAACGTCGACCGGCTCCTCGCTTTGCTCCTTCTGCTTCGTGTCGCTGATTGGATGATCCGCTTGTGCAAACCGAGTTCCTGATACCCCTTCTTGTGAGCTAGGAATCTCTGCTGGCGGTCTAACGTTGCGAAGACTCGTCTTTGGTGGTGACTCTGGCTCCTGAACAATCGTCACCGAGTGATTTTGCGGCGGCACATTGTCAAAAAAAGAGGGTGTCGATGGTATTTCAGGGATGGCGTAAGGGTTAACGTGTGGTGTTTTGGATGGCCTCTGCGGCTTTTCGTGGGACGTTCTGGGAGAAGCCAACCCTGATGTCACATCCTCGGGCAATGATGAGGTTGGGTATGGCTCGATGGAGAGCTTCCTTGTCGGCTTCGAGTTGGCCCTCACTCTAGCGCTTGAGCTCCTCTTAGGCTTGCTTGGCCTTGAGTTAGGCATCGTCGAACTTGAACCATGCAGCTTTTGGGAAGCCTGGTCCAGAACAGCGTCCGGCCCATGGTCCGTCATCGGCTGGGGTACTTCGCTCGAGGTTTTGTCGGCATATATGACGGGGGGTATTGATTGCATGGGTGTTGACTGGCCTGACGGCTTTTGTGATCTTTGGGTTTCCTCCCTCGGGGGGCTTTGCGTCGCATCGGCCTCTAGAGCCGCAACCTTCTCAGACATGGCATCCAGGCCAGCTGGAGTTAGCCATTCCAGCATCTTGAAGGCGACAGTCCCGAAGACGTTGGCGGCGAACGAGCGATAGTCCTTGCTGATGGGCCTTTCAGCGACTTTAAAAGCGGCTTTGGCGGCGCCCGTTGTCGAATCGAAATGCGATCGCTCCTTGGAGGGAGAGGCTGGTCGACGTGCCGTTTCCTCAGCATCGGATATGGCCTTTTGAGAACCACCGTCTTCGCCATTTAATCTGCTAGCCGTGCCTGATTTCCGCCGCCTTGGATCCTTCGGTGCAGCGGAACGCTTCGAGAATGGGTCGCTAAAGGCCGGAGCGGCGGGGTTCGGCGAGAATATGAGCGAGTTCAGCGCGGCCGGAGTCTCTTTCGGGGGCTTGAGGTAGGGACAGAGCCCGGTCTCCGGGTTGTCTTGGCTAGCCAGGTAGACAGCCAAGGTCCTTGCACTGGTGGTGTTGTATCTCCGTACTGGGGCCTTGCCGGCGAGGCGCTTGCGACAGGAGAAACAGGTCGCGGTCGTACACGACTTGGAGTCGCATCCGTATCGCAGCTGGAGGATGTATCTGAGTCGAGGCATGTTAGCTCCGATGACACTGAATCAAGGTCCCAAGGTGTATGGGGACGCACATCTCGACGAGGATTTGAAAGTTGTGACGGCGACTGGCTCGGTGGATGGCGTAGACGCGCTTCGGGTTCTCGATGGTCTGGACCATGTCCTTCAGCTCGGGCGGCGCATCGGGAGGCAGGCGCGCAAACGGGGCGTCTTCCCAGAGCGCAGCCAGGAGATCAGCATCGAGGCTGGTCTCGGGCTGAGGTCCCTTTTCAGGGCGGCGGATATCTCGAGTCATGTCATTCGGGTCGTAGGCGCTCTGGGGGTATCTGATGCTCAAGTTGGATAGCTCTTGGCGATGGAGAGGAGCAGATGCGGCAGGGAGCGGTTAGCGAGGAGGGCAGGAAACCGAAGGAATCAGGAGAAGCTGAAGCGCAGGGGCCACTGTTGTCGTCGGTAAGGTGTAGTGGTACAAAAGATATTACAACCACCAAGCGACAGCTGGGGCAAGCAGAGAAACGTTGACGATGAATGAGCAACCTTGGGTCGATGACGGGTGGGTAGGCAGGGAAAGCGGGTGGATTACGGGCTGCGTACGCAGTAGTGTCGTCTGCGCTGGGGGAGCAACTGGGCACCGTATGGCCACGCCACGAGGCTCGGCGATGACACCGTGCGGTTAGGACTCGACGGGGCACGGTTCCTGGGGTCTTTCTAGAAGAGTGGATCCGGAAAGACGGGAGCAGGCAATCAGGACATGGAACATTCCGCAGAGGGTCCGAATTTAGCATGCGAATTCCACCCCGACTTCAGTCAGAGCGGCGTTAGGGCCAAAAAGGACGAACCAGGGACCATGGTTTCTGACATCAGCCGCATCATTGCCGCCTTCGATCGAGGACGGGACCAACGTCCAGGCGCCAGCCAGCCAGCCCAGGCCCGGCGTGGTCGGCGGTATTTGCCTCCGACCTTTTTCGACCCAACTGCCGCCACTGCCCGCCCTCCGCAACCCCCCCTCCTCTCTATCCATCCTGATCTGGCAATCAGTCATCATGCAGTCCCTTGATGATTTTTGCCGTTCGGAGGGGTTCCTCGATATAGTTTCAGCGTCAACCACTCGCCGGCCAAGCTGTTACCTTGTTACAAAAAACCCAAACAACCAGATGGTAAGTATGAGCCAATCTTGACATGTGCCGTGGGAAAATTAGTCAAAGACCACTCTTGGCCACCTGCGTCAGACAAGGTCCCAGTGTTGTGTCGACCGTCTGTCTGTACTGTATTATTCATCGAGACATGCCCAAAGCAAGACCTGCATGTTGATGCGCAAAGACCAAGCGCCTGCGCCTCCAAAACCACACAGAACAAGTTAGACTTTGCTGGATAAGGTACGGCACCTTATCTCCAAACGGTGGCAGGCACACGACCATGATTTGCCTCCTCCTCATCTTCCTAGGTACTCATCTCATTTCTTGATATGTCAGCCGGACCAACCCAGAAAGAAGGAGGCAGAACCCCCCCATCCCCGATACAATAAAAAAAGGATCGCCCATTCTTCGCAGGTCCGGTGCTTCGGGAAGAAGGCCCTGCCCCCACTTAGCAGGGCAGCAACTGCCAGGAACACGCTAAAGGCTCAAGCCTGTCAGTGGCACAACTTTTCACGACAGGCTCAGGACAGGCCCAACCCAAGGGCTCTACACTGCAAGTGACGTGCCTATCACGTCCCTCCAAACCCCCGCCTAACCCACTAAAGCCCTTGCGAATTTTCCCATTCCCTTTTAAAATCATTTTCCCCTCCATCCGCCTGACTTTGACGCACCTGCACCGCCGGGACGCTCATCTTTTGCCTCCCTTCTTCCTTTTCTATCGCGCACCCGCCAAATTCACGTTTGCGCGCAACTTGACTCCCTACTCCAAAGGATCCTTCACATAGGCGAGCAAACACCAGAACAAACACAAAAAGCAGACCACGCCTTTCGCACACGACATTCACCATGGCGAGCGTCGATGTTGCTGCACTCGGTGCCGTTCCCGCCAATGGAGGGGCAACCGCGGCTTCCCACCCCTACACCTGCAACACCTGCTCTGTTGCGTACCGAAACATCGATCTGCAGAGAGGCCACATGAAGAGCGACTGGCAGTATGTGTTCCCTGATTTTTCTCCTCTTCAACACCTGTTGTCGATGTTTTTGTCCCCGATTTTCCCCATCGTGTTTCCGCGCTGTTCCGCTCAGACCAACTGACATCATCTTCCCAGCCGATACAACCTCAAGCGCAGAGTCGCCTCGCTTCCTCCCATCGCTTCTGAGGTCTTCAACGAGAAGGTTCTCCAGGCCCGCGCCGTCCAGACGGCCGAGGCAGAGAAGGCCTTGTTTGAGCGCAGCTGCGATGCTTGCCAAAAGTCCTACTCGAGCGAGAATGCGTACCAGAACCATCTTACGAGCCAGAAGCATAAGGTCCGTGTCGCCGCCATTGCTAGACGCAAGGGTGGCGTCGCCGACGATGCCAGCTCTGTCATGAGCTCTACCTTCTCTCTCGGCGAGCCCATCGCTGTCGACAAGGAGAACGAGTTGGATTCCGAGGCCGAGGAGGAGTTCACCCAGGTCGTCGAGGGTCTCAAGAAGGCCAACATTCACGAGTCCCACGACGATCGTCCCTCGCCCGTCAAGCGCCCCTCGAACCCCCACTTGTCTGCTCAGGGCCAGCGTGCTGGTGATGATGCCTCCATCAACCGCGACTCCGACTCTACCACTCCCGTCCCGTCCAAGCCGGAGATCGCATGGAGCACAAAGTCCTGCCTTTTCTGCAACTACGAGTCGCCCACTGTCCCCCTCAACGCCAACCACATGGAGCGATTCCACGACATGTTCATTCCTGAGAAGCAGTACCTTGTCGACCTCGAGGGTCTGCTGCAGCACCTGCAAGAACGCGTTCACGAGGGCCACCAGTGCCTGTACTGCTTCAAGACCAAGAAGACGGCCTTCGCCGTGCAGACCCACATGCGCGACAAGGGTCACTGCAAGATCCCTTACGACACCGAGGAGGTCCAGCTGGACATTGGTGACTTCTACGATTTCCGCAGCACTTACTCCGATGGCGAGGAGTCGGACGAGGAAGAGGAGGCTGAGCAGAATGGCGGAGCCAAGCTGGGTCTGAAGCGCCCAACCAAGCTGGTTGGTGAAGACGGCGAGGAGGTTGATGGCGCAGAGGACGGTTGGGAGACGGACAGTTCGGCTTCTTCTCTCGACTCGGATGAGTTGACGGCCTTCACTGCGGATGGCCGTTATGAGCAGTATGAGCGCCTCGACAAGCACCCTCACCACGCTCGTGAAGACCCTCGCACCCGTCACCAGGCAGACGGCTGGCACTCTCATGCCCACAAGCACACTCGAGCCGTCTTCTACGACGACTACGAGCTCCACCTTCCGTCTGGCAAGGCAGTTGGCCACCGCTCTCACAATCGATACTTCAGACAGAACTTGCACAACTACCCCTCTGCCGAGGAGCGTGAGGAGCGGTTGGCTATCGAGGCAGGCTCTGGCGATGAGATGGATGTGGATGGAAGAGAGGTTGCCACCACCGGCGACCGGAAGACTCGCAACCAGCGTGCCGTTACTCGCAGAGACGCTGCGGGTATGGCTGGTGCGACTGACAAGCAGAAGCGTGCTGTCAGACAGGAGGAGGTCAGAGGCCGCAGCAATGCCACCCGTCACCAGAAGCGTTACGACTACGGAGTCAGCGTGAAACTCAACAACCAGAAGAACTTTTACTACCGCTACCAGGCCGGTGGTTGATCAATTCGCCACTGGATGCGGAGGGCGTTGGACGGGTTGGCTTTTACTTTTTTGCGGAATTACATCGAACCATGAGAGGAATTGGTATGCATGATGAGGCTTTGATGAACCATGCATAGGGAAGATAGACAAAATAGAGGCTGTTGAAGCCAATATTTCTTCTTCTCTTTCGAGCGTTGTGAAACTGTCTCGTCTTCAACATGAGCGAGTGTACGTTCTTGCAATGTGATCATGTCTTTGAGCCGATGGAGTTTTGCGTAGATATGCATTTAACGGGAGAGATTAGCCGGCTAGGCACATATTCTCCAGCAAACTCGGACCAAGTTGAAATGATCCATATCTCTTTTCATCATGCTCTCCATCAACTTTTGCCTCATCATTGGTGGCAATGCACTTTATTGTTTCATAATATTGTTTACTGGTCTCATTGATCGGCCCCCGAAATGCTCAAAAATGCGTGCCGTTGTCGAGCTATTGTCCAAAGGCAATGCCCTCCGACGCAACGATGGCTGAGCACCACCCCGACTAGGACTTACAACCCGCGACCCCAACCAGACGCGGACGGGTGGTATGACGGGCGGAGACATCCGAGCCGCCACGAAGAGCCCGGCTTCGAAAAACCTAAGCCTAGAGACGAGTACAGCGGGCGTGATGGGAGGATCTCGTCGTCATCGCGGATGGGCGCGTCTTACAGGAGACCCGATCGATTCAATCCTAGGGATTATAGGGATGCTCCTCGAGACGACCGTGGGCGAGATGGAAGGTTCTCATCACCATCGCGGACGGACCCGCCTCGCAGAAGCAGGCCCTTGAGGCCGAAGATCCAGGCTCCGAAGAGGAAGGGAGGCGGCTTTGTCTTGATGGTGAGTTGCCACTCCAAGCCTAAAACAACGGCTCCTTTGAAATCCTATACTGACTATCCATCAGCCGAAACTGTCGCAAGAGGAGCTGGACAAGATCAACACACCAAAGGACGTGTGGGAGGCCAGGTCCCTCTACTACGTGCCTCCCAAGAGGTCAAAAGAACACCAGCAGCCCGTCGCCGTCCCCAAACCCCCAAACCCGCATCGCCACAGCGAAACCGCAACACCGGCATCGCCTCCGCAAGCGCCATCAAAGCAGCGATCCAGGGCATATCGACAGACCCCAAGCCCAGCCCGCCGCCCCCGCTCCCCGAACTCGAGGGCGACGGTGGCGCCATCGTCGCCTCCCACGTCCGGGACCTCCCGCACGCCCAGGCCGCCAGGTTCTTCCTCTCGCCGCCCGCGACGTTCCTCTACTCGGCCTTCCGCCTCAAGCACCACCCGATCAACACGACGACGCCCGAGATCTGCGTCGTCGGCGCCAGCAACTGCGGCAAGTCGTCCTTCATCAACGCCCTCGCCAACGCCGCCTCGCTCGCAAAGGTCAGCGACCGCGCCGGCAAGACGGTGTCGATGAACGCGTACGGCGTGGGGCCCCTCACCGGCCTCCCGTTCCGCAAGCCCGTCGCCGCGGAGGGCGGCGGCGCGACCAAGGAGGAGCGGCCCGAGCACGGCATCGTGCTAGTCGACACGCCCGGCTACGGCTACGCCTCGCACGAGGAGTGGGGCCAGGAGATTGTCGAGTACATCAACAAGCGCACCATGCTCCGCGGCATCATCCTGCTCCTGTCGTCCGAGAAGAAGGTGTCGGAAAAGGACGCGCAGATCGTCAAGCTCCTCGCCGACGCGGGGCGGCCCGTGATGCTGGTCTTCACCAAGATGGACAAGGCGCTGCTGCGCCGGGCCCGGGAGGAGGGCGGCATCGCCGAGAGGCTGCGCGAGGCGGAGCGGTGCTTCGCGCGGACAGGGTGGGACGGGTGGGTGAAGAAGGTGTACATCACCGCGGCGAGGATGGAGCGCGACAAGAGCTGGAAGGTCGACGGGACGGGGAGCGCGGCGGGCATGGCGGGTGTGAGGATGGGGGTCCTGGAGCTGGCCGGGATCAGGGAGTTTGTCGCGCCCGAGCGAGCGAGGGTCTCGTCGCCAAAGACGGGAACCGGGACGGCGGAGGAGGAGAAGAGGTTGGAGCCGGGCAAGGCCTTGGAGAGCGATCCGGCGGCGTGGTCGGGCGACGTGGTTTCGTTTGAGGAGCTCGAGAAGAAGTTTGGGGATTGGAGCTCGTGAGTCGGCGGTGGCGGTGTAGGATAGTGTTTCGATCTGGTAACGAGACGAGAGATACCCTCTAGAAGAAATTGCAACTCATTATATGGCGCATACTTGAACAAGAGGAACGGCCGTTCATTTGGTGATATGAATGGAGGACCCTGTTATGCAAACATGCGCGCGAGGGTAGAAGGCCTTCGGTGAAAAATTATTGACTCCAAGGGCTATTTACGCTTTGGACAGGTTCCATCATATGGGTATTCTAGCAAAGACAAATTGCGAGCAGTCGTCGTCCGACTATAACGTTAACCCTCAAGAACTCCTTCATCCGTCCCTCCCAATGTGCAATCGCCAAATGAGTGTGAAATATAATACAACGCGGTCCGTTAGTCGTAATTACTCCTTATCCCCTGCTGTGGCTTTCGAGACTGCCGATTGCGCCGTTCCCGGTCTACTCAGCTGCCGGCGGATCTTCTTCGCGTTCTTGGATTCGAAGAGACTCTTCACCCTCCGCAGACGCGCCCAGCGCTCCTTATCCTTTGCATCCCGAGACTTCTCGTCTTCGTCACCTCCCGGCTCTGTTGCAGCACTCGGCGAGTCATAGCCGCCTGGTGTCAAGGGCGGCGCGACACCTCTGCGTACCGGCGTCGACGGTACCGAGGCGCCTCTGCTGTGCCACCTGTTCTTCGGGCGATCATCAAGTGCTCCGCGCAGGTAAGCGTCATTCTTGAGCACCTGCACCAGGCACTTCCACGCCGCCATGTCCGACTCGGAGCCGGGCTTGGCGCTACCCAGGCGTTGCGTAATCGGGTTCTTCCACGGACAGAAGAAGCGGTGCTCTCTGACGGGATCGAGGTGATCCATTGGCGCGGGGACAAGGATCTCGCCGTCGGCGCTGACCTCCTTGCTCTTGAACATCCACAGTCCTAGCCTTCGCAAACAAGTGTGACAGGATGCAGAGTTCGGTACCGCTCCAATGCGAGGGTTTGTGAGGCCTTGCCATCCCGTCAAGGCCAAGGCCAAGGCGACTCTGTTGGGTTGCTTCGGGTCTGGGGAGTCCTTGGCTGGTGGCGGGTTTGTAAAGAAGTCGTCAGGTAGTTGGGTAAGGACGCTGTCAATGTTGAGACCCTCGGGGAGCCTCAGGTTGAACTCATAGGGGAGGAACGGCTTCCTCCCGCACAGCTCATCGTACCGCTGCCGCAATGCCTCCATACTAATTTTGGCATTGGTGAGGGACAGCCGAAGTAGTGAATCTTTGTAAGTTAGTGCAAGTCCTCATTCTGGAGATCTCACAAGACATACCATCGCATCCCTGCTTCCTCCACAAGCACTCTTCCAGATGTGCTGTGACAATCAGGTCCGAGTACTTGTCGACTAACGCTTCCTCTGCTTCACCAATCAGTTTTGAGTAGCGACTAGGAGTGGCAGTCATGAACCTACCAACATCCGACGCGACGAGGACCGGCACCTCCTTGCCATCGACCTCGCGTTTGTTCAGCTTCACAACAAGCTCCTTGTTGCACAGAGTGCACCGTACACGATCCTTCCCCTGACATACCCACCCTCTCTTGGCCCATTCAATCTCGTTCACCGCATCGGGCTTGGGTGTCCAGTCAGTGATCTCCTGAAACGAAGCCAACCTCTTCAAAAGCTCGCTCCGGTCGCTCGGCGCGAACTTCGGTGCGAGCTTGACCTCTGTCACTTTGGACGAGTTGGGCGTCCACTTCTTCAGTACAACGTTCGTAATGGTCGTCCCCGGTCCTGTTGCACGGATAGAAGGGGAACTTTTCATTGTAGCGGCATTCTTCTCCGTCAGTGCCTGCAAGCGCCGGCGCTTCAGCAATATGTCCTCGTCGATTGACATGCTCGTTTTATTGTTTGTGGTCGTAGTCGAGGAGTTCGTGTCGGTGGGCTGAAGAGATGTCGTCGATGGACGAGGAGACTCAGCGGGCAGACTGGAGGAGTCGTTGGACTTTGTCGACGCGGAGGATCTGCCCAAACCCTGGATAAGGGTGTTGAACTTTCGTTTGGTAGCGTTCATTGTGATTTCGTGGTTCGATGTAACGGGAGCGGCGGGTGTACAATGGCGTCTATCCTGAACTGGGGAACGAGGGCGGCGGGGAAAAGGTCGTCGGCTCGTATGGGCGATGGGACTGGAGTAAGTAAAGGCTTTCTCTCAGTCGTCTATGATCATTTGCGCCGTGCTGCACTATGAAACGGATCCCCCAGGAATAGGATGGTGCTTGGTGGCTTGTCGCAGCCCAGGCGCCCAGCTTTGCGAAAGTCAACAAACGGCAGCTGCTGATCGGGCAATGAGCTTCCACCCCTGTCGCGTGGGTGGCGGCGCTAAGGCGGAAGACGTAGCAACGGGCTGCGCTAGAAGGTTTAGATGCATATATCAGTCTACTGGGGCGCTTCCCGATAAGATAGCAACTCGCAAAGGAATCCGAGGGAAAAAAGAAATGAGAAAAAAAGTTGCGAGCAGGGATCACGACGCTAAAATTTTGGAGACGCCGACTGGCCGACACTGCGATCCCACAGAAATTTTCCCAGGTGAAGGCCGAAGACGACTCCATTCTCACCGAGGACTTTCCTACGCGCCTGGCTTTTTCCCACTCTTCCTTCCTCTTCTTGCCATTGCGATTGACAGAAACATTTCCCACTTCTCGCCCCTACACACATGTCAGCTTCGGCACCTCCGTCCTGGCTATTCTCCAACAACTTCACCAAGACCAACGACACCACCCCTACCACCACAACACCGCAACAAGACAAGATGGTCAAGAAGGAGAAGTCCGAGAAGAAGGCCAAGGCCGTCGCCGCTCCTACCCAGCAGGCTCCTCCTGACCAATTGATGGACCTCGTCGACTCCTTCCTCTCCGAGAACTCGTTCACCTCCGCCCACGAGGCCTTCCAGAAGCAGCGCGCCAAGAGCGGCTGGAAGCCCTCCAAGAAGCAGACCACCCGTCCCGACCTTGTCACCGTCTTCCAGAGCTGGCAAACTACTGTCGATGGCAAGCCCGTTGCCGCCGGGGTTGATGTCAAGAACGTCAAGGTTGTGAGCAGCGACAGCTCCAGCAGCGATAGCGACAGCTCCTCGAGTGACAGCGACAGCAGCAGCGACGATGAGGACGTGGACATGGCCGATGCCGCCGCCGACAGCGACAGCTCAAGCAGCTCCAGCTCCAGCTCTGACTCGGACTCTGACTCAAGCAGCGACAGCGAGAGCGAGGACGAGAAGCCTGCGCCCAAGAACGCTCTGAAGCGCAAGGCGCCTGAGTCGGACAGCAGCAGCAGTGACAGCAGCAGCGACTCTTCCAGCTCGGACGACTCCAGCTCCGAAGACGAGGCTCCCAAGGCCAAGAAGCAGAAGGTCAAGAAGGACGACAGCAGCGACTCTTCTGACTCTTCAGACTCCAGCTCCGACAGCAGCTCCAGCAGCGAGAGCGACTCTGACTCCTCCGACTCAGACTCCGACTCTGACTCTTCCGACAGCGATTCCGACTCGGACGGCTCCGAGGCCGCAAAGGTGCCCCTTCCCGAATCCGACTCTAACTCCTCATCCTCCGATTCCTCTTCCGACTCGGACTCGGACGAAGACACCAAGAAGTCTGCCAAGAAGTCTGCTAAGAAGGCCGCCAAGACTGCCGACTCGGCCTCCAACTCTTCCGCGACCCTCGAGAAGACCTCGCCCGAAACCTCTACCGCTGCTGACCCTCCTCTGCCCCCGACCCCATGCTCAACCGCCCCAACAACCGCGGCGGCAAGGGCGCCAACGGCAAGGAGAAGAAGGTGCCTAACAAGCCCTTCTCTCGCATCCCTGACGAGGTCTACGTCGACCCCAAGTTCGCCAGCAACGAGTACGTCCCCAACGACTACTCGCAGCGCGCACACGAGGACCTCATTGTCACCAAGGGCAAGGCCTTCACCAAGGAGAAGAACAAGAAGAAGCGCGGCAGCTACCGCGGCGGCCTGATCGACATCTCGGAGAAGAAGGGCATCAAGTTTGAGTATTAGGTCCTGCGACTAGCTCAGACCTTGACTTGTCTTGCTTTTTGACCTTGGAGTTTGGAATCCCTAAAAAGAGACATTTTGCGTTCAGGTTCGGTGAAGAGAAGCAGAGGGGTTTGGTTCACTGCTGCATTTTCGTTGTTTTCTACCCAGAGCATTGCACTTTTTTTTGGAGGGAGAAGAAGAGACGAAAGAGCTTGGTAGAGGGTATAATCACTAGAACCGGTATTAGCTCGCACGCGATACTGTGTACATAGAATCCAAAAGTTGAACATCTTCCACTTTCAGCCCATTTCCCTCAGCATCATTACGTTGTCGCCAGTGGCCTTACCTCTGGTGACGTCGAATCGAGAAGTGCTCCCCAGTCCTGCAGTCCTGTTCACTCTGAACAGCGGTCCTGGCATGTGACCCCAACGGCCCAAGGGGCAACTCTCGAGTATATTGGCATCACGTGCAGTTGTGGCCATGCACAACAGGAACCACGTTGGCCGGACCGGTGACGGACGCACCCTTCAGATCGGATATCAGGCTGGACCGGTGACACGAACGCTGTGGCGCAGTAACAGGCCCCAAGGAGGGTAGCAACGGCAAGGGCCCAGAGCCTGATGAGGTGATTGCCCTCCACTACTCCCAGTTTTGGAAGTGTAAGAGCACGACGCCTGACCCGGCTCTACGACCCGAGGGAGTCCCACGTCCTCGCAGGGCTCCGAAGTTCTGTTCCTCGTCTCGTTGTCTGGTGTGTGTGTTTCGTGGGACGGAGTCGAGGAGCGGGCGAGAAATAGGATGAACGGGTGGGGATCGCGGTAAGAAGAGACGGGAATGGAGAACGAGATGGAGAAATCTCGTAGAGGCGGGAGGCCAGGCTCTCACGGGGGAAGGTCAGTGTCAGGGTCAGCGCACCAGCAAAAGGTGGGTTCTGGTTCGGGGTCCCAGGCGGGTAAAGGGCACGCCCCCGGTCGTGAGGTGGTACTGTACCTAAGGTAGGCAGGTCGGGGCGGGCGGGTGCTCCACCGCGGCGGTCTTAAGCTTAAAAAAACCTAAAGTTGGATGGGTTAGGGGTCACTACCTATGGGCAAGGGACCGTGCCGTGGAATGGACGAAAGACACAGGCCCGGATCCGTATATCCAACGAGCCTGGCATACTGGTTTCGCATTGGCAGTCGGTTGCAAACACGTACGTGGCGAAGCCCTGGGACAATACACTGTGCTTTGTACTTCCGGGGGTTGTTTGAACTGACGAGTCTCATTGATGTAAGTACATGGAACAACACGGGTAACCGGCTACGACCTCACGGCCTGAGACAGCCTGGCCAAGGTACCCCGATACATAGGCCCATTACCAATGTACCTTTCTTTCAACCGTCTGCACATTATCGAGAGCTCTCAAGGGTGTCAGCGGTAGCCTCGTGCGATATATATGGAAAAGCGCCTGGTCCGGCGAATACCTCGTCATTTGCTGGATGAACGGCCAGCACCACCTTAATGCCCAATGGCAACCCATTCCCCCCAAGTCAAATCATTTTGTGGATTCTCTCTGATTGCAAAGGGGAAACGAACTTCTTTTACTTTGATCATCAATCCATAAACGTATGCCTCGTGCCTCTGTCGCCCCAAAACGTGGTATCTGTCACGAACTAGGTCGTGTGAAAGCGGTATCTAAAAGGGCAGGCGCCTCATCATCTCTACTACGTCTTAGACTCGTCCTCCAACGCCTGTATGTTACCATGTCTGGCAATGACCCAATCCAGAAATTTCTCCCAACGCTTCTCCCAGTCCGTCCGCACGATGGCCAACTCCTCTTTGGACATGCAAGAGTGTTCCAGGCTCCATTCAATAAGCTGTCGCCAGCCGTGCAAAGTCATATCCGTCTTGCCAACCATTGCCTGATAGAAATCATGAGAAAGACTTGATCTGCAGTCTCTGGTTAGCGAACCTGTCTCCGCAACCCAGGCCATATACCTTACCTGAATATGGTTCCGTTATCGGAGTTCAGAGTGCAGTGTACGTTGTTCGCGAGAAGGTTGTACATGGCGTGGCCGGTTATTCTCGGCGTAAGACCGAGTTCCTCGTTGGAGATGGGGCACACTTCGAGGCAGATGCCCTTTTTCTTCATGTGCTCCATGATGTACGGGTGCCTAGCCAGCGCAAAGCCGTGGCCGATGCGTTTCGAGTTGAGCAGAAGCGCATCCACGAGGTTACCATCCGTATCGTTGCCGATCTGCGTCGTCTCGCCACAGTGGAAAAGGAACGGAATGTCGACGCCAGACTCGTCGCACTTTTTTCTGAATGCAAGGAACTCGGGGATAAAGTCCCGCAGAGGTCGCCCCTTGGACTCTTCGCCAACCAGATCAAACCCTGGCTCGTTAGTTACACGTCTCATGCAGTTCCTGGATCCTAATACTTACCAGCGATCCACTTGGGCCACTTCTTCTTAAACCTAAAGCATTCGTCGAGCGCGAAAGCTACAGACTCATTCGAGAAGGACCGAGGTGTGCAGTAAATGACCTTCAAGCCGCCAAACGAGTTATTGGTCCTTTGTTGGAACTGGTCGAACTCCTCAATGATTATGTTCATAATGCCCACGTTATCGATTTGTCGTGTACCGTCATCAGTCCAGAGCTGATTCGTCTCCATGAAATTTGGCCGGATCTCAGCGTACTGGATATTGTCACGGACAAAATCCTCAAGAATCCCCTGAGTGTACTTTCGGTAGGCGCTTTCGTAGTTGAAAAGGCCCTTCATCATGCGTGTTTTGCCATTAAACTTCTCCCAGGCGCCCTGGACTGTCTGGAGCACGTTATGGGCCTCGTCCTCATGGAAGACGAGTTTATTTGTGAGCCACTTCTCTGGGTCTATGTTGTGCTTCTTTGGGAATTCGTTGAGGAACTCGGAGTATTTCATCGTCTGTCGTTTCACGTAATCCGGCGAGAAAATGTCGCCCGGGTTCTCCTTTTCAGGTGGCAAAATGGAAAACTGAATCTCACAGACGTGAAGAGCGTTCCGTGCCTCCTCGTCTGTCCTACCGTCATCACTCGGAGGCAAGGGCTTATCGCTGGTGATGAACATGCGGTCCATGTTCTTGGCTATGCCCAGGAGCACATGAGGCTGCAGACAAGCATTGAAATGGATGTGAAGATGTGCCCCTTTGGGCATCTTTATCGCGATATCAAGTAGCCTCGTTTCGTTGATGAGATCGACGTTTGATAGAAAGTGGTCTGTAGGGAAGCGCGGGTGGTTCTGACCACCCCACCCTTGCCTTGGCTCAGCCGCGTCATACACCAAGCGCTGGTCCTCAGCCTTGACGATTTGAATGATGGCGTTGGCTCTGGTCTCTTTGGATGAGGCCAGCGCCGTGAGACGGAAGTCAAACGCCAGAGTCTTTTCGCGGTTCATTATCTCGATCCGTTGGCGGAAGTATTCATCAGGTTCTTCGATCTTTTTGGCCGCGGCCGACCTCGTCCGGGCTTGGTCGAGAACGGTAACCTGCCGGCGGTGGCGCTTGAGGCCGTTGCGCAGCAGCCCGTCGCCGGTGCCGTCAATGATTTTGTCGTGGGCATCAATCATTTCTTGAGCCATTTCCATGTCGGCCTGGTGGCGGTGATGAATGTCGGCTGACGGTGAAGCAGAGCGGCTGTGATGAGGCTTCCGTAGCCTTCTTGAGGAGTGTCGCGTGAGATTGTTGTCGTCCCTTCTTCCCTGACCATCCTTTTCGCCAGGTGCATCGTCCTTTTCAAGGTTCGAGCACAAGCTCCCCATGAGATTGGAAATTGAACCCGAACAAAGCACGGTGGGATTCTGAAGTTTTGGGGTGCTCGGTCTTGAAGGGAGGTACCAAAGCAGCGCCTGGCGCAGTGAATGGCGCTTTGTCGCAATGAATGAGCTTGATCGCTTGGATTGCGAATGAATGAGCGGTCGCAGGGAGAAGTATCAATTATTTGAATGCGCAAGGCCCATGACAAGCTCTATCATAGTGAGCAAGGGATTCCTACTAGGTATAGTAGTCCATAGAAATGTAAAAAATTCAAAACCCTCCCTCCGGATAGTGAGATGCGTTGTTAGAAGAGTAGTAGGTGGAGAGAGGTACGAGTGACTCCAGGTACAACAAAGCCCCGAGGCCTCAACGTAGGTAACGTGGTTCAGGCCCGGCGAGCTCCTTTTGCTTTGGCTTGGCCCCCCAGTCAATCGCGCAGCCAGCCTTAGGGTCGGGGTGGTTAGATGCAACCGCTCACCTTGGGAGGGAGGGGGGGGAGAATGACTGGGCAGCTCGGCTTGGACACGATGGTACAACTGCGTTTAGGTTCGGTTCCTGCCTGCGTCTAGAAGCAAATAGCAGGGCTGGGTTCGATAGATGAGCACGAAATGGGGCGGGTTGGGGAGGCAGGAGCTGCCTGGCTTCCCCTCCACCTAATCGGGATTAGCTTACCATATACATAGCCACAGCAATGCACAGTTCCTTCATGTCGACAGTACCTACTGACTGGGCCAATAAGAGGACCCACAGGGCAGACCACAGGCTTTCTCGTCCTCTGCTCTTGCTCAGCGCTTCCGTGCTTCTGGTTCTGGGGAACGCAGTTCCTCACTTCACATGGCTCAACTGAGGAACCGCGATGAAGGAATCGTCACTGCTCCACCAGTGTCATCTGCTTTTCTTTGCGGCACTTGAGTGCAACAGTGGGAAGCACCATGTGGCTATTCCCAGTCCACCACAATCACCTGGGGACCTGCCCACGCGACCCCTTCCCCAATGTCTCGTGGCTTATCTTGTCAGGACCAACAAGCGCTCAACTACTATTACATTCACGAATAATTGTCCGGGCGGTTGCAATTCATCCATCTCGACATGGATCCCTCTTTGCCGTATGAATCATTCGGTTCCTTGCTTTTGTCCAGCCCCGCCAGCAAACGCTGTCCGCCAGTGCCGACAGCGCTTCACCAAACTCTTTCTCACCTATCGTCAAACCCGCCGCCACTGACTCTCATCCATGAAAGGCATGGTACTCCAAAGTTTCAAAGCCACACAATACCCAGTTTACCAGCTCAACAACCAAACTTGCCAGGGGTTCTTTTCTACGAAAGCCACACCGTTGAAAATCTGCAAACGCCCCTACACAAGGTTCTTTTCCGTGCACGAACCCCTCCCGCCGTTCCAGAGAACCGGGACTTTTCTGCATGTTCCCCAAGTGCGGGACCCCTGTTGGGACGTAGAAACTGATTGTTTCCCTTTTAAGCGGCTCAACTCTAATCCAAGGCAGCAAGGCTGTATGTATGGCGTTTTCTTGTCGACTAAGAGTGGATGTTTGTTGACCCCATAGGTATGGAGCATGGCCATCTTTGGCGGCCTGACAGCGCCTGCTTTACCCGCCTCATGGAAGTAGCTTGTGAATCAACAAGCGCCTGCTCTCGACCGCTTCGGACGACATGGATCAAGTATCACGGACTCGAGGCTGGCGCAGCCGCTTCCTTTCGTCGCGTATTTCACCTTAGAGCAAGTGGAGAATTGTGTGTCATCTGGTCACCAAGTCCATCTTCTAAGCAGCTGCATTTGGCTTCAGAAATGGCTCAGCACCACCTCATCCTTTACATCAACTGCCACAACGTGGCTCAGATCAGCATCTGATAATCTGATATAGAGTTCCAAATGTATGAGCTGTCTGGGCCAACTGACATTCACAACATGATCAGCGGCAAATAGGGATGTCGAGTGTCCAAATCCATGGGGGGCGGTGCAACACCCTCTCAAGAACGGCCTCCAAACCCCGACTAGACTAAGGTCTGAACAGAGGCAGATTGCTTGCACACGAGAGTAGGTCTTCGCGCATAACCAAAAGAACCTCGTGGAGATGGGCGCTTTTGAAATTTCCTGCCGCATGACCGGCTGCGATCAACACGATATTTGCCTATAGACGTCCCAAAGTTGCAGTCTGTGCCGCAGCATTGTGGAAAAAGTCCAGGCTGTATCTTCCGTTCACGCCTCGCAATGGGTTTGTCTGGTGAAGCTCGACAGACAAAGAACCGCATAGGAAAGGTCATCGACTACGAGTGTGGTTGTTGATCGGCACTTTGCTTGGCCACCACCAGAACCTCCTGGTGCTTTCGTGCGTACACTGAAAGACCTTCTGGCTACGAAGAAAGTCCGCAGTGGGACGCCGGGCTAAATCAATTTGTTATTGTCATCTTGAGAAAATTGTCCCCAAGAAGTCGTCTGCTACGCTGCGGTACGGACTCTATTCATTATCTGATCTAGTCCGGAATTTCCGGGTGGAGTTAAGCAGACCAAGGTGGATAACATCGCTTTACTACTGCCGGTTGACCAGGAAGTTCGGGAATGCCGCCCTCACGGACGCCGACCTTGCTTGACGGACCCATCCCCAAGTGGACTTCAACTAAGAATCATCGAGATACATACGTACGCCAACCCACTCTCATCCCCGTCATAGTGTTTGGTTCCATTCGAGCTCCCTGTCGTTGCTTCTATTTGCTCCTTACGCATTTGCTATCTCCGGCTCATCTTCGCCCTGGTTCACGTCACGCATGCAAGGTACCCGTGACCCTTGCTGCTCAGCTCTTTGCATGGGATGAACAGCGGGCCGACGGAGTCGTGATGGAGACAACCTGGACCGAAGAAGAAGGCGCTTTCACGTTTCTATGTTTTCAGAACAAGCAATACCTGCGATCAGGGTTGCACCGGGTAAAAATCTCGCGATGGGGCCCGGTAGGGGGCAAACAGCTCGGACACCGAGCGAGTATCTTATTGCCCGGCCGCAACACTGAATGAAGTGCTCTGATGTGACTGCTATAAGTTGTGTGTCTCCCCTGAGGTGCTTAACGTTTTGATTTGGTTCCCTACATTGTCTGCGTCTCCCGCTGAACCTCTTGTTGATTCCCGTTCAAATCGAAATCCGATCCCACCAAATCACCATGAGATTCTCAACTCTTGCGGCCGGCCTGCCGCTCGCGGCAGCCGCTCCCCAGGGCCACTCCTTCAAGCAGGTCAACGCCACCGGCAAGACCCTCATCCTCGATCAAGCGCCGGATGCACCGCAGCCCTATGTCCTTCGCAAGGGTTCCGGTCGAGCCGTCGCCGTCGGCGAGCAGGTTTACCGCTTCTCCGTCACAGGCAACTCTTCGGCCGGCGCCTTCACCCTTATGCAGACCAACGCCCCGGACTCGTCCGAGCTCGGCGTGCTTCCACACATCCACAAGGCGCACTACGAGAACTTCTATTGCACAAAGGGCCAGATTCAGCTCTGGGCCAAGACCAACGACACCGAGGAGCAGGCCCGTGTACTCACCCCGGGCGACTATGGCGCCGTGCCCCAGAACACGGTCCACACGTTCCAGATCACCGACCCGGACACCCAGCTCACGGGCGTCATCTCTCCGGGAGGCTTCGAGGAGCTGTTTATCGCCATCGCCAACTCCGAGTTCAACTCGTCGACGGGCGCCGAGTTCGTCCCCGCCGCCGCCGACGGGTCGTCCGGCTCCGATCCGGAGCTGATCTCTGCCCTGGAGGCGTTCGATGTCTACGCGCAGCTCGACTTCACCCCCCGTAGGGACCTCGTCAATGGCAGCGCCGGGGGCGATGACACTTGGCACACTGCCGCCAACGCCCTCGCGCCCGACGCCGTTACGCCCAACTTCGTCGCTAAGAACCGCGGGCCAAAGTACCTCAACACCGACGGGGGTGTCTACCACCTCATCGCCCCCTTGGCCACGGGAAATCAGACGGCAAGCAACTTCACCATGGGCACTGTCACCCTGAGCCCCCTAGTGTCGAACCAAACGGCCACCGAGGCGAAGCTGTCCCAGCCCCTGGCTTTCCAGCTTGAGGAGGGTGCGTTGGACATCGCTGTCGACGGATACGACACCGTGACGCTGATCCAGGGCGACGTCGTCTTCATCCCCGCTGCCACTCCCTTCAGGTACCACGCCTCGGCCACATTCACAAAGTTCCTTTACGTGAGCGGAGGGGGTGACGGCTTCGATTACCAGCTCCTTCAGCGGGCTGCGTCTTGGGAGTACGCGACGTACCCCGTCAGCGCCGGCTTCACCGTGCAGTAAGTCTGCCACGGGAGTAATGGAGGGTTAACGCCTTTCGGTTGTACATAGTTCCTCTGTACATTGGTTCTTTTTCTACTTTATTCCTTCTCCTGCTCGCGATACCCCCGGGAGGAGCAGCCCACAAGCCGCATGAGGCCGACGGTGTACGTCCCAGAGGTACCATATGCACTTTCTAGATAGACTTATTTCGACAATCCACATGAGGCCGTCCAAGTGGCGGTGACCCTATGTACCAAACTCTAGCTTCATGCTGCCGGTGATCGTATAACCAGTGACACTGCCCCTTGGCAACTGGGGCTACGGCATTTTATCCCTGACGACGGGGCACGGGAACTGATGAAGCCCGACAAAATGACAATGGTGCATGTGCATCCTATTCAGAAGTACCAAACAAGATCTATGCTACTTGTTGGACGAGGCGCGGGGAGAGCCTGGGGCATCTCGTGTTCCAAGTTTCTGGGCGTCGATATAGTCCAATTCATGGACCAGACTCCCGGTCACACCCATCAAATCGGCAGTGCCTCGACATGTGAAGTCAATAGTCGGGCCGATCACAGCTAGAAGATATTAATTCTGTGACTAGGCTCCAGATTCGAGCATCTCAATCGATCAGGGCTTTGAGCGAGGCAGACAGGCGATGGGGTTCGCGTGATGAAGCGGAGGTTTTGGATCCCAAACGTGACATGATGTTCCCTTACACTATTTGACAAAAGTCCCAACGCCGGTAGTATGACTAGTTGGCCGCTAAAGTAAGTTCTACTAGAAAGAGTGGTCCTGATCTGGGGAGGGTCTGCAAAAGGGGGCTCGGGCGAGGCACAGCCACTGCCCCATGGAGTTGTTGAGTCGACTAGGTTTGTTTCCACTTCAATTCCAGGCAGAATTTGGAGCTAATAGGACAACCTCAATAGAGACAGTCATGAGTTGTTTGGAATTTCGTCAATTTTTTCGTACGGTGTTTAAGATCGCATTGGTTGGAGATGGTGTCGACGTCGTATAGACGGGGAGCTGGAAAGGCCGCAATGTGTTTCGCCTTGACTTGCTGCCTTGCTACAAAAAGTACCATCGCAGGTTTTTGTCCAATTCTCTAGTTGATCTTGAAAGGTGGTTCGAGGCCGCTCGTGGCCATCAGCATGTTAAGGTTGGGTCTACACTGTCTCGCCTAGCTTGAATGTTCATGACGTTCAGTTGATGAATCAAAAGACGTAAACATGATCAAAACAGCACAAGCTTCGGAGAATTCGCAATCAGCATTATCTTGCTTCTATACCGCTTCTCTCTTCAGGTTTTCTTGGACTAGTGGTAATCGTGCACTCAGCTTGATCAACTTCAAGCCCGCCGCCTAGTGCACTGGCACTGGCCTAAGGGTATCAATAAGAACCAGAAGAACCAGAAGCAATATCTTCAAACAAATTAATAAGACTCTTTACTGTGTTGTGTTATTTTCGGGTGCCTCTGTAAGCGCAGTGCACTTGAAACTTGTTCCCAGTCAACTCTTCATTAGACCTTTGTGAAGGAATGAGTTCAATCCATATAGTTCTCCGCTTCTTTTTCCAAGATGTAGTCGGGACGGCGACACCAAGGACGCATAAGTAAAGTACTCAAACCATTGGTCGAACTTTTATGAAATCTAGAAGCACTACCTGTAACTTTGCTTGACCATTATTGCTGAAGCACAGTAATTACTTATGTTAAGATGGCGTATACTGATGTTCCTGAACTTTTCAATACCCACACTTACTTAGTCAATCATGTGAGTAACAGACAGAAGAAGAAGAAAAAAAGGCAGAGGTCAAACAAAGAGGACCCCCGAGCCTTGTCAGCTTCCCCGCTAAGTGGTTGCAAGTCGGCAAAGAAGCCTTGAACTGATAGATGGTGACAAGGCTGCCACAATTGCCTTGGTTGCGCTTTCCAAAGCAGTTTTAGGTTATCACAGGCCAGACTTCTCAGATAGCTACTGTATGTGAATTCGATGTTTCTTGTTTTCATTTGGTCTGTCACAGACAGTCCTGTTACTTTCCCAGGCTTTCCCAGGAAAATCAGCACAAAAGCAAAAAAAACATACAACACCAGGTATTCGCTGATCGTCACCGACTCAACTACTAATCCGGCCCTCACTGGCTTATCTAAGGGAGAGCGGACGGGATCCCGAGTTTTCCAGTGGGTATGGTCGTATGTGACAGAAACTCATTCCTGGGACACTTATATTGGTATGGTTGGTGACGACCTGAGAAGCATGCACACCTTATCCCAGGAAGACATCATGTCCTGACACGTCAAACTTGGGGATTCGTCGGGAGGTAGTCTTTGGTTTAAAGAACTAGGTCTCATTCTTCAGGCTTCTGTGGAAGACTGTTTCTCTGCGAACCACTTTGTGGAATTGAGATATGATGCAGGACCGGCCGTTGAAGCAGCTTTCTATATCCCCAAACTGTATTTTGGTTGTGCCGTGATGCGCACTGTGAAATGCAGCATAGTCGAACAACAAGGTAGGAAATGCAAAGTCACGGCTTGCTTTTTCCTGCCATTACAATAGCACCGAGCTAAAACGGAGGGTCTTATCCCGTCGAGAATAGCACAGCAAACAGATACCTTCCACGATACCTTCAAGGTGACTTGGACAAGCACTCCAAAGAGACAGCCATAGCTATACGCTCGCCATCAGTCCCTCATCTGTCTCACGTTGAGGTTGATCCGCTTGTTCTGCATCCAACCTTTCCACTCCTCGTACTTTCCATCCTCCGCCGGCCAGTCAGCCAGATAGTCCGGACATGTCCCCTTCATGACTTTGGGCACTCCGTGCCACGCAAACCGGGAGTCCTTGGTCATGTAGATGGCGTCACCGGAGCGCAGCCTGAGGAGAAGGTACTCCTTACCCGTGGCCTTTGCTTCGTCGGATATCTTCTCAGGCTCGTTTGGTGCGATCATAAAGAGACCATCGCAGCCGAAACTCAGACTGACGAGGCCCTTGTCGGTCTCCTCACTAACGTCGCGGTGCATCATCATCGTATCGCCGGGTGTATAGAAGTTAACGATGGCAGCTTGAGCAAGGGTTTCCGGGAAAACTGCCTCCAGAAATTGGGCAATATCTGAGGGGAACTGAGGAGGGCGCTCTTCTGGATATATGCGGTTCGTCCAGTCGTACTGGCCGCCCAGGGTGACCCAGTGTAGGCGTCGTTCCATAACCTGCTTGATGGATAGGGGCTTGTGAACTGAAGGGTCCTTAGGGGTGAAGATGGGTGTTTGATCAGGCGGATATGAGAAGAACGACTCGGAAGATCCATCGGAAGCTTTTGGATAAGGTAGATCATAGTGTAGATGAAGGTTTGTTTGATGTGTTGGGATGCTTAGGTCTCGGTTGATCATTAGTGAGAGGAGAGTCTTCTGAACTTCGGGAGGCACCAGGTTCGGTACGATGAGAAGTCCTAAACACCATTAGCGAATCTCCTTGGAGTTTTTTTCAAGTACGAGTTACATACCTGGAAGAAGCGGGTGGTAAAGAATAGGAACCTCTTGAAGTGCCGTTGTGTCGACTGCGGCCGAACTTATGTGAGAGAAAGCAGTTGTGAGCTGGTCAACCGAAATCTTCCCAGCCACTGAGAACTTTCCAGCTTGTTCTGGTGATCGAGGATCATCGATGGAGTCCCCATTTACAAGTTCCTTTTGGTCTGCCCTTGAGTATCCCTTCCATTGTGCCCGCATTGTCTCTGAGGGCTGCTCATGAGCATCGAGCTCGGCTATTCCAGCTGCCATTGTGAGGCACTAAAGCGAGAGTTACAGGAAGGCGTGCGAGCGCGCAGAAATTTTGTGGAATAATCTATTGAAAAAAAAAACCAGTTCATATAAACTTTTCAATCAATGCCGTAGTCTCGTGGCACTCTGAGCTCTCATATCGTATGTTCTAACCCTTGGTGAATCTGCGGGACAAAATCGGGAGTGAGTCCGTGACCCCACCATCAGTGACCTTATCGATAGGGACGGATAGGAGATAAGCTTGATTATCGATAAGCTTGAGTGCGGGCAGCCTGTCAGGGGAGTCCACGCCACAAGTTGGGACGCGCCCCTGCCTACAGCGGTCTTGGTTGGGTGAGATCAGATCGCGCCTTGTTTTTCTTCATTGCTAGTAAACAACGACAACCAAGTGCAATTTTAGCACCACAAAACATCGCCCAATCCGCCGACCGACAACGCCCTTCCCGCCAGGGCCTTTTGCGACCGACGACAACAATACTAACCCCTTCTCCTCCCTCTTCCCATGGAGACTTCCTTCTTGTAGCGGCCGACTTCTGATATTCTCTTCTGCCCACCCCCTGCGTGCATCACGTTGCCCCCGGACGACGACAATCGATTCCCTCCCTTTGAGCGGCTTACCTTTCTTCCCGGAGAGACCCTCAGCACCTGTGCCCCTCCAGACCCTGAGGTGACTACACAACACAGCGACCTTAACTCACCCCACCAACAAAGGCCGCTTCGAACCTCACGACGGACTGCCTTCGACGCTCCTTCGACCAGCAGACGAGCTGATTCGATTTAATTCTTGCAACCCCCTTCCACGAATTGACCCTCGCTTTGTCAACCCCCTTGCACTGCAATCATGGAGAACTACCAGAAGCTCGAGAAGATCGGTGAAGGTACGCACCCCAGACAATGCACCCCGGGCACCGAATTGGGCACAACATGACGCAAGACCTCTCACACAGACATGTGCTAACTTTGCCTCCCTTTTACAGGCACTTACGGTGTCGTTTACAAGGCCCGGGACCTTCTCAATGGCGGTCGCATCGTGGCGCTGAAGAAGATCCGCCTCGAGGCCGAGGATGAGGGCGTCCCCTCCACCGCCATCCGCGAGATCTCTCTTCTCAAGGAGATGCGCGACCCCACCATCGTGCGCCTCCTCAACATCGTCCACGCCGACGGCCACAAGCTTTACCTCGTCTTCGAGTTCCTCGACCTCGATCTCAAGAAGTACATGGAGTCCCTCCCCGTCGCCGACGGTGGCCGCGGCAAGGCTCTGCCCGAGGGCAGCTCCGAGTCCCTGGGCCGTCTCGGCCTCGGCCAGACCGTCATCCAGAAGTTCATGTGGCAGCTTTGCGACGGTGTCCGCTACTGCCACTCCCACCGCGTCCTCCACCGCGACCTCAAGCCCCAGAACTTGTTGATCGATAGAGACGGCAACCTGAAGCTGGCTGATTTCGGTCTCGCACGCGCCTTCGGTGTCCCCCTGCGCACTTACACCCACGAGGTCGTCACCCTGTGGTACCGCGCCCCGGAGATTCTGCTCGGTGGACGCCAGTACTCGACCGGCGTCGACATGTGGTCCGTTGGCTGCATCTTTGCCGAGATGTGCACCCGCAAGCCCCTCTTCCCTGGCGATTCTGAGATTGACGAGATCTTCAAGATCTTCCGGTGAGTACTCCTGCTGTCATCAAGTGTCTTGTATCTCCTTGCACAGCTCGCTAACCCTTTTCTCGTAGCACCCTCGGCACGCCGACCGAGGATGTCTGGCCTGGTGTCACCTCGTACCCCGACTTCAAGAGCTCTTTCCCCAAGTGGATCCGAGACGAGTCTCAACCCCTGTGCACGAACCTCGACGCGGAGGGCCTCGAGCTCCTCGAGATGATGCTGGTGTACGACCCGGCCAGTCGCATCTCGGCCAAGGGCGCCTGCAACCACCCGTACTTCGAGAGCTACCCTGACCAGCACTCTGGCCAGACGACAAGAAGCAGCCGCACCAACGGATACTATGGCAACTAGGAGTTTCCCATGATCTCGCACGCGGCCCCCATGCAGCACCAGCGCTTCGACTACTTCTGAGATGCCACCTCGGGAACCTGCAGCAGGTATTTCAGCGGCAGGGGGTGGTGCTTTCGGGGGGCCGAGACCTGGGACAACACAGCATACTCTTTATGGACTCGGTATCCTATCTGCTTTCCAGGATACTGAGAGGGGATGTCTTGTCTTTTTCTTGGTCATTGGGTGGTCACCATTACGAAACAGACTTTTCTACGTTTCTATCGCCAGGGGACAAACGGCACTGGGGGGTTTGGTGAGAGGCGACGGGAAGCGTTTGCAAGTAGCTTGGCACTCACAACACAATACCCCCCCGAGATGTGACGATGTCGAGTCACTCCAACTGGTTGTCAGACCGTCAGACGTTGCTACAGCACGGTAAGGTGTCTCTTGTCATTTTGCGTTTGGCCCACCGGGGCCCATTGCAGATCGTGGGACGCGTGTCTCGCACTCGTCAGTGGTTTCCTCTCTATTCAGACACCAGGAGGCAGCGAGTCCAATAATCAACACATCACCAAGGAACCCCCCGTCCCACGCAAAGGAGAACATGGCTTCTCTCATTTCTTTTTGTCGTAAACCTTAATGTACGGAGTAAAGATGATGCATACGGTCGGTTTCGGTAGGGCAGGTTAATGGAACAAAAAGACACGTTTGGCATTCTGCCTTTTACCCGCGAGATCATCACCGGCTGCCACCCGCTCCCCTTGCCCAGATGTGATGCCTGGCCAAATGATTCTAGACCAGCCCAATTGCCTAGTGCTCACCCTCGCCCCTGTGCTTTCTGCAGGTCCGACGATTGATGGGAACGGTGCACCCTTCCTGCATAAGCCTAGATCCTAGCCCGCAAAAGGGGCGGGATGGTCAGATCATCGCGAGCTAGCGGGATGAGATCTGTGCCGAGGAGATATCTTCACCGGGGAGACGGTTTGTCACCTCTTCTCCCCGGGAATAAGCAGCTGCCAAGTCAGCAGTTGGGCGATCATCCAAAACTCTGTAATTGGAAGGGACAAAGGTTAGGAACCGTGACCAGGTTATCGCGGCATCCTGAGGCCTTGGCTGGACCTTGCAGTCTAGCAGAGGGCTTCTGCCATGGGCTGGCGGCCCACGTCTCTCGTAATCTTGGTCGCTAGAGCATAATGTCTTTTTGCCTATGAACACAGTCCCCGAAAGACCCGTAACACAGTCACCGCGGGCCAAAACAAATCTCCATCGTTCGGTGCGGCGAACTTGATCCGGCCTAACCCCCCGTCATCAGCTCGCATCAGCGCCAACAACGACATGTAGCCCTCCTCGGCAGTTGGGGAAAACCAGTTCCCCCATATCGTCCAGAACATTCTTCCGGGACTTCTAGCAGCATCTCGAGCAGAGCAAGGGGGAAAACACGTGGAAAATCGTATCATTCCCCCCTTAACATAAGGCACAGGGCTTTCTTCCACCGCGCACGCTTTCAACGTCCGACGGCCGGGACGAGACGGACATGCCTCGCATGCGGTCCTCGTCCGGCACTTCGTCGGAGCAGTTTCCATATGCGTAGGGACCCTTTCGAGAATCTACGAGGTACAAGGCACGTGGTCCGGGTTCCAACGCACATCTCGGGTGACCAGAGAGAGGAAGGGGTGGCTTCAAATCAGTCCCCCGGCGTCTAGTGCCGTCCAAGTCCACTGCCTGTCCCACATCAGCTCACTTTTTCACGCTGATGCGGTGCCTCGCCTGTCCGGCAGTTGTCGGGGTGGTATCCCCATCCGTCGATAGCATCATGATCGTCCAACGGCAATGTCGGATGAATGGGTAGGAAACGGGCATAGCGCGAGGGGGGGGTGATGGGCGTTCGAACCACCCAGCGTGTGCTTTGTTTTGTCACTGTACCAGCAGCTACGTCGAAGAAATGCTCGCTCGTCCGCGGGTGACCGCTCAAAAGACAGGACGCGCGGAGGACATGCCCACCGGGTTTGGAAGCCGCCCAGTTCATCGCAAACGGTGTTTCCTGTCCCGCACAAGGAGGCGGCGTATCACTGACACATCACATCGTTCCTGTTCCTGCGTCTTTTTCTGGGGGTTAAGGAACTTTCGCATAGTCGATGGCGGTTGAACGGTTTAGGCTTCTTAAGTCCGTAGCGTCGCTAGCACGACGAAACGGTTTCCCTTCTCGGCGGCAATGACAAAAAACAAAAGAGGGAAGGAGGGGGAAGCCGCCCCTTTCCCACTGAAACAGGAGAAGCACACCAAGCAAACACTGAAAGAAAGACAAACGTCAGGATGGCGATCCATCATCTCGCGAAGCCTCGGGCCGGGCGTGTGTCTCTGAATGCCCCTACCGCCAGCCGTCCTTTTCGGCTGGGGATGTCAGACGCATGCCGTCTCCACACGCCCCTCCCCGCCGCCGCCGCCGAGAACCCCGGACGCATCGTCCCGGCAGACGGGACGAACTGAATCCGAACAGGCAAAAAAGGACCTTCATGGGATGTCGATCTAGACGGGCCTCTCGGAACAAGATGTGAATCGACACGACAAGGAAGGAGGCCTGATTAGTGGGCCCATGACTCCAGAAATCGGACGTGTGTCACCCCCGAAAGAAAGCCGCTTGACGCAAACCATCGACAAGCGGCAGATCAAGATCTAAGGGACAAAACTCAAAATCAAAAGGGGCCAGAGACATAACAGCACGAACGGACCAATGGGAAGCGACGAGGAACGTCGATGCAGCAACCCTGGCCTGGCCAGCCTTCGCCCAAGTTCACCTAGCCTGACGACGCCCAGCTCCTCCCATGTCACCGTCCACCGCGCAGAGGACTTAGCGAGCTTTGGGGGGGAAGCGGGACAAGGACGTGACGGAGAGGAGGTAGCGGATAGGCTGAGCGGGTGCCAAAAAAATTCAGATTAAATTCCGTGTCCGTGTTTACTATTCAATCCCGGTCACCACTTCACACTACGACCGTTTTCGGCGTTCTGCGGTCGAGGGGTGC